GAGCAGCTGCTGGCCTTTGGTGAAAACCTGTCTCTGTGAGAAATCTTTGCTGTCAGCAGTCGCATCCAGGGCTGCTTGTGAGAGACTGGGGGTTGATGCAGGCTCCGCCGCAACGGGCAGAGCCCTGCGCAAGCCCATTGCGAGAGCACCCCTTCTCAACGAGCTCGGCGAGGGCTTGCTGTGCCTTCGCCATGAGCTCGCGTTGGGACAGAACTGCATCATGTGCCTTCTCTTGCCTGTTCTGCGTTGACTGAAGGCGGGAGGTTGCGTTCGTGTGATGCTGGAGAGTTGTTTTGTTGCGTCTCTGCGCAGCTCGGTCCTCCCGTAGCTGTTCATGCAAACGTTTCCTGGCTGGATTTGCATCGTCGACCTGATCCATCTGCTAGAGGGCGCTCTCCAAGGACTCGATTTTGATCGCTCGCAAATCGTCGAGATCTTCTGAGCGAGGGGCAGCACCACTATGATTAACGCCGCTGTTGGACGCTGGGTCCTTGAGCACCCCTGTTAGACGTTGTTCCAGTTTCTTGTACATGGCTTGGGTGATCTGCTGGATGAGGTCTGGGGGTGGTCCTGTCGCCCATCGCCAACCTGGCCACTTGGGGATGTTGGCAGGCGGCGGCTTCTCCCACTCCTTGGCGTTTTTCTCTGCCGCCTGCACCACACGCTGCGGCACAACAGCTCCGCAAATGCACGTGATGCGGCAAGACCAGTTCGCAGCACGAGTACATTGCGGACAGGCCCGGGGAGGCATGCGAGGGCCTCGAAGCACGGAGGCATCGCCAGACATGTTGTTGCAGCCGTAACGATTCGAAACTTGAAACAAAAACAAAAAAACCTTGGTCCGCCGACGCAGGCCGTTTTGAATCTGGCGTCGGCAAGCTCGGAAATATGCGCGGCGAATTGGGACTCATGGGGAGGAGGAGGAGCAGGAGGAGGAGGAGGAGGAGGAGGAGGAAGAGGTGGGAGGAGGAGGATGGGGAAGCCACGGGAGGATTTTCAGGATTGGGAGAAGGACGGGGAGGAGAAGGTGGACGTGGAAGCGGGGGGGGACGGGAGGAGGAGGAGGAGAACGAGGAGGAACAGGAGGAAGAGCGCAACAGGCATCACACCTAATATTCGTCGAACGTAAAAACGAAGGAGGAGGTACTGACGACTCCTGGGCCGAAGCCCCGTCGCGAGCGGCGCGGAGGCGGCAACGGCTGCCCGATGGTGGCGGGGCTGGTGCGGAGCCCGATGTTGGCGGTGGCGTTTTTTTGTGTGATGCGGCGGACGGCGCCTCTGATCGGCGCGGTCAGTCGAGGTTGGGTTGTGTTCGCGCGGTTGCGCAGTGCGGCTGGCCGCAGTCTCGCTCGGCAAGGAAGGGTTGGCTATGCTCTTTGGCGGGTCTCGGCATGCGAGCGCGGACAAGGAGGGGCAAAGGCTGCAGGCAAAGGCCGCCGCACCCCCAGTGTCCGCGGTGCTCTTCGACCTGATGTGTTTCCTCTGCTGATCTCGCCTGAAATCTGAGTTGCTGCGGGGGGGGGGGCAGTGGAATTTTCTTCACTAGAGCACAATACAGCGGAGGAGGATCAGGAAGTGTCTGCTGCAGGGGCAAAGGGGGAGGGGGTGAGAGGAGGAGGGATTGGAAGAAGGGAAGGGGGAGGAGGACGAGGAGGGACATTGGATTGGAAAGTAGACGACGAGGACGAGCAGTCTGCATAGGGAGCTGGGTGCATAGGAGGAGAAACAGGACGAGCAGAAGCGGAGAGGGGGGAGGAGGAGGAGGAGGAGGAGGAGGAGGAGGAGGAGGAGGAGGAGGACCAGTGCAAGTCCAAGACTCACCAACGATGTCCAAGCTTCCGCATCAGAGGCCCCATACACGGATTCACGTCCACTGGGGGACGTGCCCCCTTGGGAGGCAAGCGTATGAAAGTCTGGAAGCGTGCCACAGCACCACTCCCAGGACTTCAACGCCGCGAGTCAACCTGACGTTGGCGTATTGGCGATCTTAATTCGTGCCAGAAAGCAGTTCTTGGGACCTCAGCACTACGAATCAACGTACTTCTTGCGCCCTGGCAATCCTGAATCGCTAGGAAACAATGTTTCTGGCTTGCAAGCCATGCGAACACGCGAACCCCTTGCAATATATTAGAATGCGCGCAGCGCTATGACGGGAACCATGTATTGAAAGGGAGCCGCCCGCCATCTGCGAAGTTCGTGCACGTATTTGGAAGTAAAAGTAGACACACTACCGAGGGTTCGCTTCGGTAAGCGAGAGCCACATTTTGAAAACGTCTCGCCCTAAGTCCGCGATGTTCTTCCATGTGTTTCAGACGTGTGTGCACGGCGCTAATGCGAGAGCACCATGCCAAACGTCTACACGTTTCGCGTATACCCGTTTGCTAGCTTTGGACGGCGCGCGGCCTTTCCGCTTGCGCTCGCGATCAAAAGTATACCCACCAGCCGATCCGGAAACGATCTCCAGGCGAGTTGAGGTGATCAGGAAAGTGAGGGAGCACAGAGGGGGACGGCCGAAGTGCGCGAAGGAGTGAGAAGGAGACGGAGGAAGCTGGATGGACGGATGAGAGAGTGGGGAGAAGACGAACAGGATGAGGAGGAGGAGGAGGACGAGGAAGATATTGAGTAGGAGGAGGAAGGAGGAGCAGGAGGAGGAGGGCAAGCAAGAGGGCCAGAGGTTTCTTGGATGCCTCTCGGAGCCTCCTGGGCTATCTCTTGGGCGCTTCTTGGAGGCCTTCTGGGACGTCTTGGGGGCTCTTGGCGGTCCTGGGGGGCTTTCGGGCGTCTTGCGTGCCTCGGTCGGATCGAAATGGATCCTGGGCAGGGGGGGAGCACAACGACCACGACGCTACTAACGACGACGACGACGACGACGACGACGACGACGACGACGACGACGACGACGACGACGACGACGACGACGACGGGGGCCTCTTGGGGCCATCTTGGGGCCAACTTGGGGCTTCTTGGCGCCTCTTGGACGCTTCTTGAGGCCATCTTGGAGGACATCTGTCGAAGCAGGGGGTCTCCCTAATTAGCGCTGCCCTAGGGCTCTTGGGGTGCTCGTGGGGCGCTCTTGGAGCGCTCTTGGGCGCTCTTGTTGCCGTCTTGAGGCTCTCTTGAGCCCCTCTTTGGCCATCTTGGAGCCATCTTGAGGCCTCGGATGGCCATCGGACGCGAAAAGGCGAGAAGGCAAAAGACATGGTTTTCCATAGGTTTTGGAAGGATTTTGGCCTCTTGGAGGTCTCCTTGGATGTCTGGGAGGCCTCTTGGAGCCGTCTTGGAACCTTCTTGGATCCTCTTGGAGCATTTTGGAAGCCATCTTGAGGCATCTCGGGCTATCTTGAGCCATCTTCGAGGTCATATTGGGCTGTCAGAGGCCCGCTTGGAGCCGTCTGGGCCATCTTGGACGCTCGGACCGCTCGCGACCGCCCCCGTCCAGGTCCAGGGGAGGGGTTTTTGGGGGGGAGGGGTAAATCCCTCCCCGAAGTGGAAGAAGGGGGTTGGAAGGGGAAACTCTCTAGACCACCGACGCTCAGAGGGCTGGTGGGACTACCCGCCCGCAATCCGTGAAGTTGTTGCAGTTGTTTAACACGAGTGTGTGCGGCGCTAAGGCGAGAGCCAGATTCTGAAAACCGCCTGCCCTCAACCCGTGAAGCTCTCAAATCGTTCAAAGAGAAACGTGCGCGGCGTTGTGGCGAGACCCACATTTTGAAAATAAGCCGCCCTCAATCCGTGAAGTTCCTGGCCACTGTGAAATTCGAATGTGCGCTGCGCGAAGGCGAGAGCCACTCTTCGGAGGCGTCCCGCCCTCCGTCTGTGAAGCTGCTACCAGTTTCCTAGCTTCAGGCTGGTAAGTGGTAGGGACGTCTCAGGCGAAACGCCCAGCCTCCCCTTCCGACTGGCCTCGGGGTGCGACAGGGAGGAGTTACTCATGAGGAGAAAGAGGAGGAGGAGGAGGAGGAGGAGGAGGATAACGAACTTGAGGCCGTGCACCCACTATCCTCCACTGGTCTCGGGGTGCGACAGGGGTGCAACAGGGAGGAGAAAGAGGAGGAGGAGGAGGACAACGAATTTGAGGCCGTGCACCCAGTATCCTTCACTCCCTCCCTCTATCCTCAACCCCGTTCTCACCTCCCCCCCGCCACTCCTCCGTCCTTCCCCTCCGACTTCCAGTGCGCTTCCTTTCCTCCTGCCCCCCCCCTCGCCTTCCTCCTCCCCTCGCTCCGTTCCCCACCGGGCACCCCTCTCTCCATTCATTCTCAATTGCATGTTTTCTTTCACCCTTCGGCGGCCAGCCCTGGGGGGGAGTGAGAGGGCGCGGGCATTTTTGCGGTCCGCGGGCCTTCTGACAGGGCCTCCTGGGAATTCCCCGAATACGCAGAAGGCCAGAGAGCTTCCGAGAAGCCTCGCCGCCTTTTGAGAGGCCTCCTCCTTCTCAATTCCCTGCGTTGCCCGCCGCCGAGCCCTCTCTCCATCCTTCTCCTCCTCTCCCTTCCGTCACCCGCCCATACGTCAAGCCACTGCGAGGGTTCCATGCGGGGCAGGCCCACGCCCCCTTTATCACCGATCTCGTCCCTTTCGCCCCCTCCTCCTTAATTTTGAGTATTCCTTTCTCCCTCCCCACTTCCTCTCTGATCCCCCTGCTCGCCCTCCACTTCCCCCGCTTCTCCCTCTGCCCCCCTCCCTCCCAATCCTGCTTCTCTTTTCTACTTCCTCCCCCCCTTTCTGATCCTCAACCCCGCCCTCCCATCCACCCGCATATCCCTCGTCCTCACCGCCTCACAATCCTGAGCCTCCTCCTCCTACCCCTCCTCCTACCCCTCCTCCTCCTCCTCCTCCTCCTCCTCCTCCTCCTCCTCCTCCTCCTTCTCCTCTCCCTTCTCCTCCTCCTCCTCCTGCTCCTCCTCCTCCTCCTCCTCCTCCTCCTCCTCCTCCTCCTCGTGAGCACATTCCTCCCCGTTTTTAGCCGTCCCGTCTTCTCTTTCCATCCCCTCCTCGAGGGGGCCGCCTTGCACGAGCGATGGGTCGACCTCGTGGAGAAGTTCAACAAGGAGAGCGCGCTGCCATCGAGGGGTGAGGGGGAAGGGGAGGAGAAAAGTGGAGCGGGGCAGGAGGAGGGAGTGGGCGGAGGAGGGGAGGAGGGGATCTAGGTTCGAGGACCGATGCCTGGGATGTCTTGTTTCGCCATCTTGGGTCCCTGGGGACCTCCGGGCACCTCCAGAGACCTTGTGAGGAACAGGCTAAGACTCCTTCCCTGTTCCTCATCCTTCTTTATTTCCCTTAGGAGGGGGAGGAGGGCTCAGGGGAAGGAGAGGGGAGGAGGCAAGCTAGGTGCGCTCGCTTCATATCTGACGTCCTACCCCTCCCTCCCATCCCTTACTGTAGATCTCCTCTCTATTCGCACAGTCGGATTTCGAGCAGGGCAATGATCGCGAGAGGGTGCGCGATGCATCGTAGAGCATGGCATAGCAGGGCGTAGAAGAGCACGGCAGAGCGTAGCATGCCATAGCATGTCGTGGCGTTGCGTAGTGAGGTGAAGAAGTGCAGCACAAAGCATTTCAAGGCAACTAATGGCATCGCACAGCGGCACAACACACAACACCGCACAACATGTCATGGAATTGCGCCGGGTTTTTGGAGGGCACGTTTGGTCTGGAGTCGTGGCTCCACGTCTAGCTCCTTGGGCTCCCCGAGAAGCTTAACACAAGGCGGAGCTGATGGAGGGCACCCGCTGGCTCTGTTTCCAACAACGCCTTCTCAGCGCAGAGATGGGGATCCCGCTCAATACGTTCTGGAAGCGACGACGCCCCAAAGCGGGGGGGGGGCTTCAGCAGCCCCAGAAATCATTGGACCGACAGTTGACGCTGAATTACTTCCGATGGTTTTTTCGGGGGGGAGGGGGGCAATTTCTAGACTTTGGGGCATGGTATCGCACAGCGGCGGAACTCCACACAGCATTCCACTGCATGCCGTGGCATGGCATTGGAAATACTGACGCCAGCGCTGCTGCATCGGAAGCACGATGCGGAACGAGCGGAAACGCAGAATGAGGCCAGCGCTACAGCGGGAGCACGATTCGGAACGAGCGGAAACGCGGAAATCAGGTCAACGTTGCAGCGGGAGCACGATTCGGAACGAGCGGAATCCCGAAAATGAGGCCAGCGCTTCAGCGGGAGCTACATGTTGGAAACAACCTCAGCGAAGACCCAACCCCCGGGAATCCTGTGTGTGTAAAAACAGTACGGGGAGGGGGGCCAGACATCTTCTGGCCGTCATGAGGGGAGAGAGGAGAGTCGTATTCACATTGTGTAATTGTAGGGAGGGGAGGAGGGGGATGTCATTGTGGATAGCATTGTTATCGGACCCACCGCCAGAGAGGGGGCGCTGTCCTGGGGGGGGGGAGGAGGAGTGGGGATGTAGGAGGAAGCGGGGGGGTGAAGAGGAAGAGGAAGAGGAGGAGGAGGAGAAGGAAGAGGGGAGGAGGAGGAGGAGGAGGTGGAGGAGGAGGAGCAGGAGGAGGAGGAGGGAACGAGGATAACAGGGGAGGGAGGCAGGGAGGAAGGCGGCGGTCGGCTGGAGGAGGGAGGAGAGAATGGGGAGGAGGGAGGGAACCAGGAGGAGGCTCTCATCCTCGCCCCTCCCCACGCTGCTCCTCCTCGTCCTCGCCCTCTCTCCACCTTCCTTCCTCATCATGCGCTCCTCATCCTCGGCCTCATTCCTCGTCCATCCTCCATGCCTCATTGTACTCCTCCTACGTCATCACCGTCATTTCATCACAGCTGTTCTCATCTCACCTCATCTCATCTCATCTCATCCCATATCGTCTTACCTCATCTCCTCCCTTTGTCCTCCATCGTATGCATTGCTCATTACTCCGATCCCCCTGCTGCGGGCATCCCCTATTCTTCAGTAACATCCTTTGTCCTTCTCCATAATCTCTTCGTCCTCGTCATCCTCAGCCTCCCCCTTTCTCCTTCCCTTCCTCCCTTCATCATCCTCCTCGCTCCTTCACATCCCTCATTCTATTCCTCACTGCCTCTGAGGAGCACACCGACTCGTGCTGCGTGTTCTTCGACGAGGTGGCCCCGCGCATTCAAAGGGGCCGAGGTGCGAAAGGCACAGTACGAGGATGGGAAGAGGAGGGGAGGGATGAAGAGGTGGATGAGCAGCAGAGGGAGAGTTGGGACGATGAGGAGGCGGATGAGGCAGATGTGGTGTGCAGGGCCCTGTCTATCGATAGAAGAAACGAGTGGAGAATGCGGAGGGGCATACTACTGAGAGAATCAGAGGTAGGATGACGAGAACGAGGATGACGGATGATGATGATGATGTTGATGATGATGATGATGATGATGATGATGATGATGATGATGATGATGATGATGATGATGATGATGATGATGATGATGATGATGATGATGAGGAAACACCTGTTCTGTTGGCCATGGCGTTGGCCTGTGCGGCCACGCGCCGCCGCCGCGGCCACGACGACGACGACGATGACGAGTATGTTTTGTTCTCCGTTGAGGGGACGTTCCCCACAGCCCATCTCTCGGTCGTCGGTGTTCTCCTCCTCCTCCCCCTCCTCCTGCACCTCTCTCGGTCGTTGGCCTCCTCCCTCTCCGTCGTCGGCGTCCTTCTTCTCCTTCTCCTCCTTCCTCCTCCTCCTCCTGCTATTCCTCTCCCTTTCCTCTCCGCCGCGCCCGCGGAGGTGGCCGCGCTCGAGCGCCTCAGAATCGCCCGGGGCGCGGCGGCATTCGACCGCACGATGTGGGACTTCACCATGTGCGCCCGGCTTGGGCTGCCAACGTGGGGACGAACATTCGGCGACTACAAAGTGTATGTCAGAGGATGAACAGGTACCCATACCTCTAGCTTTCCATTGTTTTCCCCTTTGGGGGCCTCCTGGGAGACCCTCGTCTCCACCTTTGGATTCGCCTTGAAATTCTGGTCAGAACGCACTCCGGGAAAGGTCCAGGGAGTGGCGGTATCGGCACCGTTTGGTCTCCCCAGTATGGTTACGCCAGGGTGTGGTTTGCGATCGGCACCGTTGGGGCTTGGAGGGCACGACGCTGTCCTGGTTAGGCCTCCTCGGGGCGCGGCGGAGAACTCTACCTCAGAGCGTGAATTACCTACCCCGCTTTCGCTTCTCGGCAAAACCAAGCCAGACCACGCGCCTCCTCGTCAAGCGGCCTGACCAGTACAGGCTGCAACTTGGCATCGTTTGGTATCTCTTGGAAGCGAGGGTGGTCAAAAGCGAGGTAGGTTTGTTTTCCCCCTACTACCGAGGTCCCCGCTCGTCCCCCAGGGTGCCCCCCAAGGTGCCGGTTGCAAGCCACACCCTGTGCAAACCACAGCCTTCGGAGTCGCCGAAACAAGCCCGCAAGCTTGTCAAATTCCGTGGGACATTTGGGATAAAAATATGGTTGTCTAGTCCTCGGAGACCTCTTGGAGGTCTCGGGGGCCTTTTGGCCCGTCTTGAGACTATCTGGGGCAATCTTGTCTCCCTCGTTGACGGTCTACTCGAACGGTATCTTGCCCACGCTTGCTCTTCTGATCGTCCCAGCTGTCCGCTTCCACTTGGTCTTGGGGTACGGAAGTTGGCCAGCTTCCGTGCCCGCGTTAGTCTCGCTTTAGTCACACGGCAACCGTGTTAGACTCGTGTTCTGGGAAGGTGTCTCTCACATTCTTAGTTGTTAGCAGAGGTGCGGCTCCCTTACACACCTCGCCGCCATGGCCTCCGTGGCTCTCTCGTTTCGCTGTGATTCGGCACCAACGGCATCCATCACCTCACCGTTTTCAGCATTGTTTCATCTGTACTCCATGTTCATACCCCTTATCTGCGCCAACGGGGAAATCTTCCCATACCTTCCAGGACCGGCGGACCACGATGCGCACAACCTGTTTTATGATCAACGTTATGAGGATTACCGCATCAAGATCTACAAGGACGGCGTCCCTTCGCCGCTCCCTGTCTCTCATTTGGAGCGTGCTCGAGCTATGTTTGAACCGCTCGCGGATCCTGAGGCGACGCTTTCCCCAGCAGTGGGGATACCCACGGAAGGGGATCCAGCCGTCAGTAACGAGCAGTTGATCGACACAGCGTTCGCATCAGCGGCGCCGGCCAAGGGTCCCGAGCTGCTCACCAGTACGTCAGGAAAGGCATCGGAAGAACAGCGTGATATTGGGCAGTACGCGGAAGATCAGGCGACGAATTATGTTGTCTGCTCTCCAACGGACAGCGAAACAGACCTGGGATTATTCGTGATCGATTTTCCGGAACAGTAGTCTGGCAGGACGAAATCCTGATGCGCTTTCCTTTTGACGATCGTGCAGTTGTAAATACCGTACAATGGCGGCATTCCCACAATGATGTCGTGGGATGTCCCGAGGGCCGTGAACGCCGCAACGACACGACGAAAAACTACGCCCAATACTCTGACGACGAGTAACACATCCGGGGCAGGAGCCTACGACGGGTCCGAGGCGCATGGTCAGAGCAACGCCGCCGGTTGGGCTCCTGATTTCCAGCACCTCCTCGACTCCGGATGGGAGGCCAACGGAGTGGGCATGCTTGCCGCGGCCAGCTGCCTGATTCTGCCTGATGCCTAACCTGCATGGACGCCAGCGGCGGCGGCGGCAACATGCGACACCTTCGCACCTGGTGACTCGAGCAGCAATTTCGGGTGTCTTTTCCAACGATGGGTGCGGGGAGGCGATGATCTGGTCAGTGGAAAACTCCGACCTCAACGTCTGTATGAAATGCCCACGGCAAACTAACAAGAAAATTTGGTATCAATTCGCGGCCGCCATCTGTAGCGGAAGGTAGCCTCATCACGTATTTTTGCGAAAACCAGGTACGCTTGGTTCAAGTCGCCGCTCAGCCCTTCTCACCCCCTGAGCACCCCTTTCCGCGGGAGGCGGTGGACACCAGCGCGTGGGGTAGGGGGGGTTGAGGTTTTGTTGGAACATAGTGCAGTGCCGTGTGTATGCTGCCGACCTCAACGATTACGCGAGCTCCCTGTGCGATGGCCACGACCCCATGTCCCGTTTTGCGGGCTGGTTGTCCATCGATTTCGCCCTGAGTTTGTATTTCGACGATCACGTGTGTGGTTGGCCATCTGGTGGGTTAACCTATCCAAGGCGGCTTCGGTTATAGGCCGCCTTGCGGCGGCAGGGGTTATGGGTGCAGGCCGGGCCTTCGGTCCCCGCGCTCATAGGTTCTGCCCAACCGACATGTTATTCAGCTGCTGTGCGAGCCACACGTGGTCTACTTGATATGCACTGGTGGATGGGAGGCATCAATCTTGCTATCTGGTCAAATAGTATTATGTGGTCAAGCCCTTCAACGAGACGATGCGGATCCTATTTTTGTACGTAAATCGAGCCACAACGGACGGGTGCCAATGTGGATCGGACCGTGTGTGGAGAACTCCGACCTCAACGAGTTCCGCCATGCGGTCTACTTCTCGCTTCGCCTTACTGGCATGGCGCGCGAGCGCGTGGACAAGAGGCCGCCGGTTCTCCCGTTCCAGAGAGGTCATCAACGGCAACCCAGTGCCGCCCATGACTTTCCTAACGCACAGCCTGGCCGACAAGGCGGGGTCGGCTTGGGGAAAAGGAGCACGCGCAGGCGGCATCCGCCCCGATGAACTTCAACCGGTTGCCGCCTCCGCAACAGGGCGCAGCAGGCCAGTCAATTCATGATCGGCTACGGGGGCCTCAGTGACCTCTTGCTGCGCGAGGTGGGCGCGTCGAACATCCCACTCGCCGTGATATTGCAGCGCTGCAGCGTGGCCTATCCGTCCGACGCAGTTCAGCTCGCAAGCGCGACGTGCCAGCTGCGACGCTTTGGGTACATGGTTGAAGGATCGCCCAGCAATCTCGCCTCAGCGGGCCAGTCACCCCAGCAAGAACCCTTCCTCACGCGAGCGCAGACGCAATATTTGGATCATAGGGTCTCTGACACTGCAGCCGGATCGAGCTGGGACGGCCTTGGCCCATCAGCGTTGGGAGCGGCACCGAGTTCTACCTGCGCCAGCACCACCCGCGCAAGAGGCATTCCAGCAGGAGGCATCGAGTCAGGCGCCGACGCCCACGCCATCAGGTCATTCGGCGGAGGAAAAATAGCCGCCGACGGCCTTGAACTACGCGGCGCTCCTTTGGAACAGCGTGGCGCACACTTGTTCTGGGCTTCTGAGCGCGCCCAAACTCGCTGGCGACGTTCTACCAACCACAGGCCCACGCGCCGCGTCCGGACAGTTATCGGACGATGACCATGTCGACGATGATGTTGGCGTTGATGCTCGTGTTGATACTGATGACGCTGATGCTGCTGTTGCTGCCACTGCCGCTGATGATGATGACGATGATTCTGATCAAGGTGATGATGATGGAGATGAGTATGCTGTCGGTGACTGTTGGGGTACCGTGGGGGCCATTCGGGAGGCTTGTTGGAGGCAGTTTTGGGGCGTATCGGGGACCGTTTTGTAGCCTTTTCGAAGCATTTTGGGGTTCCTTGGAGGCCTTTCTGGGTCTCCTGGGGGCCTGTTCGGGCGGAGTGCTGGAATTGTCGGTCGTGTTCCCCTTTTTGGTTTGGGCCCTTCTTGAGGCCGTCATGGGGCCTTCTTGGGCTGATTTGGGCGCGTCTCCAACCGTTTGGGGTCTCGTTTGGGCTTTCGAAGGACTATTATTGAGGGCCTCTCCGTCTTTGGACCGCTGTGGGGCAGCGCCGGAAGCTTGAAAAAGAGATCACGTGAAACACATTGAAGGACACACAATGCACATCATTGATTTGTGCATATTGGGGCCCTCGCAAGGGGTCCTGTTGGAGCGCTCTCGGGGCTTTTCTCCGGCCTCTGAGGCGGTGCTGGAGGCATCTTGGACTATCTTTGCGGTTTCGGTGGCCCACCAGGTCCATTCAGAAAGCCATTGTGGGCATCTTGGACGCCTTGGAGAGCGCCCGGGACGTGTCTTGGCGCTGACGGAGACTTGGGAAGAGGGGGCGGTGCACGCAACGAGGTGCGGCCTGGAGAGGGGGTGGCCCCTTGGAAGACAACAGAAACCCTACCAGAGAGCACTTGGCACTTGGCACTACAGCGCGCCTCAACGTGCCAAGGGGGCACGGTGGCGGATGACGGAAAGCCCCTAAGCTCTGGCGTGCACGGTTGGTGGAGGGGCGTCCACTATCTAATCAAGGGTGCCTCTTGCACCGGGAAGCTCGCTGGCGGACGACGGGAAGCGAGCTGAGACTCGAAGAGTCGCGCGATGGATTTTGCATTCGGGCCCGGAGGGAAAATCTTCATCAAGTGGGGGGGGTCCAGGGGGGGAGTGATGGCTGGGTTTGTCCTCCGTCCTGGACCTAGCGGATGACGACAACGAGCGTTTATATTGAGACATTTTTGGGAATTTCAAATAGCTGTTCCGCCTGAGACATCCGCGAAACATGAAATGCGCCAAGAGCTGTTTTGAGACATATGTGTATTTTGGAAGCGCTTTTGGATGACCTCCAAGATGGCCCAATAAGCGAAGGCATTGAACAAACACATGGTTTTGCAACACTTCTGTTAAGCAGTAAGCGTCTCGCTCGGTATATCCTCTAATAGTAACAATGCCTTCGAACTGGTCTCGACATCATCATTCGGGTATGTAGGGTTAGGGTCTACAGGTTAGGGACTGTAGGGTTAGGGTTTGTAGGGTGTGTAGGGTTAGTAGGGTGTGTAGGGTCAGGGTCTGTCAGGGTTAGAGTCTGCAGGGTTAAGGCCTGGGGTCCGCCGGGTTGAGGCCTGTAGGGTTAGTGGGGTCTGTAGGGGTAGTGTCTGCAGGTTTTTGAGTCTGCAGTGTGCTCGAGGAAAAAGTGCCCCCCATTCCCGATCCTCCAGAAATCGCCCGCTGTCCTTCGTAAGATGGAGGGTGCCGCATGCTTTGCGCGGACTCCGTGAGAAGTGGCGCGGTGTGGAGCAGGACGGCGGTCAGGGCAGGGGCGCCAGCGAGCCGCTGGCAGGAGGGCGGGCGGGCGGGCGGAGGCGTGCCGAGGGGCCCCCCCGGGCGGCAGGTTCCACCCGAGCCCGTTCGGCCACGAGGAGATCGCGGCGGAGGCGCGGACTGCAGGGGGGGGTCCAGGAGGGGGGCGGCGCGGAGGTGTGCGGGGGCGAGGTCCTCGCCTCCGCACTCCTCCGCGCTGCCCCTCTGAAGGCAAACGTTTTCACGACGGCAAGTTGTGCTACATGTTGTGTATTCCCGGGAAGGGCTCGGGCTATCACCCCTGCCACGACTGGCGCAGGGCTGGCGAGTTTGTTCTGCTATAAGCAACGAGGTCCGCAGGGCTGGCGAATTGAATTTTGAGAATGCCCCTAGAAGTTTACTGTACTTCAAAATCTGGGGGAGCAGAATTCAGAATATGTCTGAAGCGAAACGCCTGTTTTCACATGCTCAGGTCGCCCAGGGGGTATCTAACATGGTTGCCCCCTGATGGAACCAAGTATTTTCACGTGTCCAGGCCACTCAGAGGGGTATCTGACGTGGTGGCCCCAAGCTGGAACCACGTGGTTTTACTTGTCCAGGCCACACAGCGGGGTATCTAACATGGTTGCCCCGAGCTGGAACTACGTGTTTTTTGCGTGTGCGGGCTACCCACGGGCGGGATATCTAACATGTGGTCGTTTGGGAGCCCCCAGCGTTGGAGGGGGGGGGCACAAGAGCAAGACAAAATAGATAGTTCGATACAAGCTATGTACGTAATTACATGATACATGGTCTTCGGCTGGTGTTTTTTTTTTAAAAAGATGTCACACATTGGGCTATCTAACATTGGTGTCCCACATTAGCCAGGTGTGTTCACGTGTCTAGGCCATCCAGGTGGGTATCTAACATGGTGGCCCCGCGCTTGAGCCACGTGCTTCCATGTGCCAAGGCTACTCGGAGGGGTATCTAACATGGTTGCTCGGAGCTTGAACCATGTGTTATCGTGGGTCCAGGCTGCCCAGCGGGGCATCTAACATGTTTGCCCCGAGCTGGAACAACGGGTTTTCATGTGTCCAGGCCACCCAGGAGGGTCCCGAGCTGGGTCCACGTGTTTTGCATGTCCAGGCCACTCAGTGGTTTATCCGACATAGTGGTCTCGAGTTGGAGCCATGTTTTACCCGAAAGGGGCGTGGGCCCAGGGTTCTCGTTTAGATGGTTTACCCCTGGTTTTGACTTGAAGGGGGCCGGCGGGATTATTCTTTATTGAAAACGGGGTAAAGTCCAATTCGGCGTGAAAAAAATAGTTTCGCGCGTGTCTGCTCGAGGAAAGTCGACCCCCCATCTCGGATCCTCGATAAATAACGAGGTCCGCGGACCACCGTTTCCCTTCGTAAAAAAAGTGCGGGACATGACACCGAGGTCTGGAGCCCCGACGGCGACACGGAAAAGCGCCCCGCGCGCAGCAACTCCGAGGATGTCTCGCGCGTGCCGCGTCCCGCGCGCAGGAATTTTGAGGATGTCTCTGCTAATTCGTTTATTGTTCCAAGATGTCCTTGGATTTTGACAGGGTGTCTCGAGCGAAACGCTTGTTTTTCATACTTTGTTGAGGATGTCTCAAGCGAAACGCTAGTTGTGCAACATTTGGGGATGTCTCGAGTGGGGGCCTCGTGGGGGGCCAGAATTTAACGATGTCTCAAGCGAAATGCTTGTTTTCATCCCCGCCTGTGGAGCGCGAATTTTGAAATGGATCTTGACCCTAGGAGCGCGAACCCAGCGTGATCTACGAGGGAACGCGCCCAGAGCAACGTCGACGCATGGTAATTTGCGAGGATTCGCTCCTTTGAGAAACGCGCCGTCGGGGCCAGCGCCGAATTTGCAGGAAACGGCGGGGGGCCGAAGAGCGCCACCCGAATACAGATCCCAACGCAGAACATGTTGTGTTCTGCTTTGGAGAGGGGGGGCTCTTCTGGGCAACCTCCGCGGAGTGCTTGGTGGCCCTGGGAGCGCGGAGGGAGCGTTTTTTTGTATGAGAAGTTGTAGCCCTGGGGGTGCGGACGCAGCGTAGTTCACGAGGGATCGTGGCCCTCGGGCACAATCCTTGGCGGGTTCCCTGGCGCGTTCCCTTGCACGTCCGCTGACACGTTCCGTGGCGCGTCGCCCTGGCACGTTCCGTGTCGCGCCCCGTTTGGCACATCGCGCGGCGAGTTCCTTGGCACGTCCCCTGGCACCTCCATAGGCACGTTCCGTGGCGCTCCCCGTGGCAAGTCATTGCGCGGCGCGGCACAGCGCAGAGAATCCGAACACATCGTCCGGTACAGTCGAATCACCACTTATATCTTCAGCACTGCCACTGCCAATCGCACAGTTGAGATGCTTGGAACGTTGTTTCCATGCCTCGGGGTTCTGAATCCCTTTCTGGGTCGTGGGTCGATGATGTTTCCCTTCAGTGGGCAAGTGAAGGCTATCCGTAGCCATTTTGGCTCAAGCCATTCGGATTCAAGCATTTGATTCGAGTTTTGACCAATTCATGTTATCTCGATCAGTACATGTAGTCGGAACCCTCTCCGCAGTAATATGGGCCCTGTCTATTACACGATGGGCCATGTGCAAGCCAGCGAGCTCATACGACATCATGTTTTCAAGTAGTGTCAGACGTTTGAGATGTTGGAAGGTCAACGACCTATGTGAAAATATGAGAGAGTATGTCCGTATGAACGGTCTGACTCACATTTTCGTCGGAGGTTCTGCTAAAATTGCGGGCGAAACAATCAAACATTATTTTGCCACAGGTCGGTTAGCGGTCAATCAAGCGCGTGACAATGTTCTTCAAGGAGTGTTGCGTGAACGTTGCAATTGGTCCATATCAGGCTCTCACATGTGGCGTGGGCTTGGTTCTATTCTGAAAGAGCCCTGCGCGCAGAGTACGCTTTTCTTGTTGCCCGTACGTGAGGAAATTCCATGGATGAGGTCTGCTCTCAAACAAGTGTGTTGGCACCATGGTTGGGCGCCACGCTCAAAGAAAGATTTCTGGAAGACGTCTGGGATCAAACAACAATGTGTGGACCAGGTTTGCGCTCATACATGTGGGGACGAACGTTTTCTGCACTGGGCCCTTCGACACAAGCCAGATGAATTGAGCTGGGGCCCTCATAATTGGATAGAAGAGTGGATGGTTCTCAGTACGAGGTATCACACATATATGATTGACATCGATACAACCGACAACGTGCTCGCCTGCTTTCCGCCGGGGGGTCTGAAGGTCGAGCATTCGTCCACACTTGGTTCTCACATCTACAAACGGGACGACCCAGTCAAGTCTTCGAATGATGGTTTTAGACCATCAATCAATATGTCGGACAATGCCGTGCTCGCCGCATACACTGCTGCAGAACACAATCACACACATTACTGGGTGCAGCCTTACGCCAAGGCCATCAAGGAGTCTCGTTGTGCGGTTGCTTCCTTCTCGGCTGCTACCAGGGGCCGCTGAGGGTCGGTGAGGGCCCCTGGAGCTGGAGTCACCACACCAGCCGCCGCGCGTGGCTGCAGAGGGGGAGCGGAAGGCCGCACGACGCCAGACCTATTGAGGCGCTGCGCAGAGAGGCTGCCGAGTCGAGCCCACCGCCGCGCCGGTCGGACGCTCGCCGGAGCTCTCGCCTGGCAGCATCCGCCAGTAAGCTTGATGCCCAGAAGGTTTCCGATGCACTGGAACACTGGTGCAAAATTGGTTTTTCCCAACCATCCTGTGGTGTTGGGTCCTCGTTTTGAAGAGACAGCGCCCCGCGTTCACGCACCCACAAAGCGTTATTCACAATTGCATATGGTTGGGTCCTTCGCCAGGATAATTTTTGTCTGCAAGCCGTGAGGCGGGACCAATGACACTCTTTACTTCCCGCACGATGTTGCCGAACGGCTCGAAGGCGAGCTTCGTGCGCGGCCCAGCGCCATCGATGTCGCCTGCACCGACGACCGTGCCAGTGCGCCCCGCGAACTGGCCCTCCACGATGCGGACGCGATCGCCCTTCTGCCTGGGGCGCCCCGCGCTTCCCGCAGCGACTGCCGCAGGAGCCGTCGCCTGCCGCAGGCCATCGGCCCAGGTGGCAGGAGGCCACACTAACTTTCGACAGGAGGTGGCAGCGCCATGGTTTACCCCGTTGATACGCGGTGACTGTTTCGCCTCTCCCTCCCTCCTCCTCGCTCCTCCTCCTCCTCCTCCTCTTTCCTCCTCTTCCTCACCGGTGGAGCCGATACGTTTCAAGGAGATGTCGTATCAGCGTGATGTTTCACCCCAGGCGTATATCGACGATTTGCCGTGACAAAAAAAAGTGGGCAAGTGAAGGCTATGTTGTTTTCCGTCAGCGAGATCATTGCCAGGCATATTCTTTCAGTGAAAGCAATGCCTTCCAATTGTCTTTGCCTTCGATGGGCACCTCCGCTCACCCCGCCTCCGCACACCTCACGGAGGCGTGGTCCTCGCCCCCACGCACTTCCGAACCGATCCGATCCACCTCCTTCTCGCCGCGAGGAGGAGGTGGGCTGGATCGGCTCGGCGGAAACGAACGTCAGGAATCACCGTGCCGTCTGGGGCCCACATGGGCCACAAGTTTAGAGCACTGCGATCAAAGAACAGTTTTTGGCCGCATTTGCATGCCACACCGCCTGGCGGCGAACAAAAACACAGCGGCCCCAACCATCCGCTCTGGGAAGAGGTGGGAGGAAGAGGGAGGGCTGCTCCTGACCAGCGCTGCGACGCCCTGACCCCGCCGCCTCCGTCTCGTTGTCTTCAGTCCAGAGCAGACCTTCTCGTCCGCAGGAGGGGGACGGGACAAAACAGTCTAAGACAGGCCTTTCTCGTGTTCCTTCCCCGGGATTGCCCTCGTGAAGGGCAGCGGTGCTCCTCTTTTCTTTACTGCTGCGTCTCCGAGGGAGACGCCCAAGCACAGAGGCAAGAAGAGATTCCAGGGATATTCCGTTGTCCGCCCTTCCGTTGTCGTTGTCGCTCGGCCCCCTTGTCCATCCCATCCCCCCCGCCCTCCTCCCTGACCCCCCCCCCACCCTCCTCGATCTCCCCTCGTTCCCCCTCTTTCCTCTTGACATTCGTCCCTCCGGTTCCAATCCCGCCTTGGACAGGGCCCCCCCCTCTGATTCGACCGCCCCCCTTTGCAACTCAGGGGGCTGGGCCCTCCCCCCGATTCGCCCCCCCCCGCTTTCGAGGGCCGCACACTTTTTAAGGAGCAGGCCTCCCCCCCGCGGTGCCAACGTGTCAAGCGGTTTTCCAGGCAAGCGTCCAGGAAACGCGTTCTCCCAAATCTAGGAAGAATGTCCAGATATAATCAGAACATATCATCGGAGATCTGTCATGCGGGGGACACAAACACAGACAGCTGCATTTGGATGACCATGCAAATATACGACAATATGGTACGGGTAGGGGAAGACGAATATCTGAACTATATATACTGGAAAATGCAGAGAGTCCTGGGGACTGTGTCTGTTTACGTGTGTGCGCCCCTTGACCCCTTCAATCTAGGATTGCTCCCCGCCCCTCCACATCCAGGCCCACAAGTGCGCCCTGGACGCAATACCAGCCCTCGCCGCCCCCGGCGCCGCCGCCAGTGGGGCCCAGGCCAACTGGCCGTCCCTCGCCGCCGCGGTCGTCGTTTCGCCGTCGCCGTCGTCGTCGTCGCCTCGTCGCCTGCGTTCTCCTCGCCCTCCTCAGGCTCCTCCTCCACCCTCCTCCACCTCCTCCTCCTCATTACTCCCTCCTCCCTCCTCCCTCCTCGACTTTTCCTCCCTCCTCGCGTTCTCCTCGCCCTCCTCAGGCTCCTCAGGCGCCTCGGGCTCCTCAGGCGCCTCAGGCTCCTCAGGCCCATCGGGCCAGGCCCATCGGGCCCCTCAGGCCCATTGCGCTCCTCAGGCTCGTCTGGCTCCTGGGGCTCCTCAGGCACTTCAGGTCCCTCGGGCTCCTGTCCACAGAGCTCCAACGTCTTGATCAGCATCAAGATGGGGTTGTTTCCCAGGTTTCCCCGGAGAGGGTGGGGGCCGAGGGTTCTTTTGTTGCTGTGTTCCACTGTGCCGGTCCGCAATTTGCACAGGGCTGGCGAATGCCCAATATATCAAACAAAGGTAAAGGATTTGATTGTGTAGGACAGCGAGTTTTGCGCGTGCTCGCTTGAGGAAACTGTACCCCCCATCTCGGATGATTAATAAATGGGTCCGCGGACTTCCGCTTTTCCTACTTGAAAAATCTGGCGCGGAGCTTTTTGCGCAGAATCCTCCACAAATAGCGAAGTCAGGTGACCCTGATTGTCCACAGAAAAAGCGAGAACGTTGACGTTTTGCGTCCCCTCTCGAGGACGGCGCGTCCTGCGCCCAGAATTCTCAAGGATGCCTCGAGCGAAGCGCTTGCTTTGCTGTCCCACCGTAATTTACCAGGGATCGTGGCCACGGGAGCGCGTCGACGCCGCGTAATTTGCAAGGGGCCGTGGCTTCGGGACCGCAGACGCATTGCAATGTACTGGAGCTCTTGGTTTTGGGGGGAGCGAACGGCAGCGTAATTTACAGGAGATCGTGACCTCGGAAGAGCGGGCGCAGTATAATTTACGAGGGGTCGTGGCTTTGGGGGAGCGGGCGCAGTGTAATTTTCCAAGGATCGTGGCTTTGGGAGCGCGGACGCATAGTCGGTGGCGAGGAAGGCAGGTCGCAGTGAAACGGAGACCCCGCCGTGCGTGTGGGCGAGGCGAAGCGGCGAAGCTGCGTGGGCGGGCGAGAGGAATGAACCTTACTCTTGCTAGGGCGCCGCCGGGCCGAAAGACCACCCTCTTGGGTTGTCCGCGGTGGCCAAGGGTGCCGCACCGTGGCTTCCTGGTGGTATCCCGTGGTGTCCCTTGGTGTCCTTCGTTGGCCCCTTGGTGTCCCGTGGCGCGGTGGATATTGAGCTTTTGTTGAGAGCACGTGTTGAGTGGCTTCTAACCCACCAACCCACCCAGTAGATAACGTAATGCTTGCCCCCCCACCCAATCGGCGCAGCGCACGTTGCATGGCACGACATATGTGTGTGTTGTTCGCAGTGCACGGACAGCGTGTTTGCAGTGTGGCAGCCGTGCGTTTCTGGTGTGGAGAGGCACGTGGTGTTCGCGGGCTGATGTGGCGCCCGCACAGGCGCTGTGGTGCACGCGACATTGGAATGTACACAAGCCCCGTGGTGTATTGAGGCATTATGATGCACGCGCTTTGTATGGTGTGCACAGGCACCTGCACAGGCACTGCACAGGCTCGGTGGTGCACACAACGCGCACACACACACTTTGCAGCATAAGCTGTATTGTACACAGATATGGTTGTGTGTACAAACATTGTGGCGTAGCGTTTTGATGCCGTGGCGTACAGAGGCCCAAAATACGGGCAGTCAGTAATCACGAACAACTCATGTATGGAATGTGATACGCTGGGGACCCACCATGGTCAGCCGGAGTTTGACCCCGTCAGGAGCCTGCAGTTCTACACAGGCTTTGTGGTGTATGCGGGCCTCGTGTTGTAAAGGCGCCGTTGCATACACATCGTGTTGTTTCAGCATATGTGGTGCACACGAGCGTTGAAATGTAAAGGTACTTGTAGAGATGAGAGAGACGTACCTGTATACGTTACATATGTATATTAATGTGTGTCTGTGTACGCCCTTGGTTACGAGCGGTATATATATATATATATATGCACACACGCGCTTATCAACCTAGATGTATGTATACGCCCCTCCCCCGGGCCCCGACCCCCACCTCCAGGACATCGAACATCTTTGGACAATCCCGGGTACCGCCCTCCTATGGCTGCCAGCGCGCAGCAGGAAGGCCTCGGGACGGCCAGGATGCCCCCAAGACAGCCCAAGAGTGCCCTGAGCAGCCCAAGACGGCTCTCTGGATGCCCCCAAGACAACCTCAGACGGCTTTCCGACGGCCCTCGAGGGCGACGAGAGCGCCCAAGAGTGTGCCAATGGTTCACAAGAGGCCCCCAACACCGCCCAAGATAAGCCCAAGGAAGTTTCCGAGAGGCCCAAACCTTCGAAACAAGCAACTTCGATTGCGCATGACCCCTGAGAAGGCCCCAAGAGGCGCCCCAAGCGGCCCGAATGGGGGCCCTAGACACACTGACGAGGGCCCAAGGAGGCTCCCAAGACGCCCCGACGACAGCGCAGGAGGCCCCCCGAGAGCCCACAGAGGCGCAAGTCGGTCAGGAGGACGGCCGATCGGCCCCGCGAGCCCACAGAGGCCCCAGACACCCCCCAGATGCCCAAAGACGACCGAAAGAAGTCCCCGAAGAAGCGGTTTGGGGAATGCTTTGCTCTTCGGTCTTCCGGGCGTCCGAGACCGCCCAGGCGGCCAGAGAATCGCCTCAAATTTAACCACGAGGGCTTCCAGGCAGCCCAAGAGGAACCCCAAGACAGCCCAATATGGCCCCAAGATGACCCGACGATCGGCCCATGACGGCCCAAAATTGCCGCTGGACGACCCCCGACACTCCAAGTCGTAACCCGGTCGTTCAGGGACACCGGGGTTGGAAGCAGGGTTGCCCCCCGGAGACCCCTCAGAGGCCCCCCAAAGGCAAGAAACCCAAGAGGCTTCCAGAAGGCCCCAACAGCCCAGCGTGTGCAGCAGAGGCACCGAAATGGTGCAGGTGGCAGTATCTACGCGACGTGCCTGCCACCTGGGAGGTACGTCGCAACGAGGAGAGGAGAGGAGGGAGGAGGGCCATGTGTGGAGTGGCGCGGTGCCTGCGGGCAGCACACCCCATAGAGGTGCCAAGTGCAGCGGGCAGCGGTGGCTGCAGCAGGTGGTTAGCGCCGACGGCGGGCACCGGGGGCGTCGTCCCATGTCGCGTCAAAGCGGCGTTTGCCAGGCTTGCCGCCTTTGTCGCGCCCTCTGCCTTGCTCGGCAGCCTCGCGCTCCCGCGCCTCCTGCCTGCGAGTGTTCTCGGCCTGCTGGCCGCGCCAGACCTGATCCCAGTCCACGTGGATCCCTTCCCACGAGCAGTATATTTTGATGTCGAAGTTCCAGTACCACAGATCGGCCATGAACTCTCGGCAAAAGTCCTCGCTGGCACGCGTGTTGCACTTCCCTTTGCCAACGCCCTTGTTGTCACGCTTGTCACATGCGCGCTTCCAACCTTCGACGAAGAGCCAACATCGATCTGAAGACGCCTGTCGACGGCACTTCAGCTCTCTAGGCCGCATCGGGCGTGCACGCGCTTAAAAACGAGGCGGAATCGCGGCAGGCGGTACAACCTATCATCCAGGTCGAGCCAGGCTCGCTCAGCGTGGTCGTCGGGCCAGTCCGGGTTCCGCATGCTGTCCATGCGCCTGTGCTTTTGCGTCTGACGCTGGCTGCGGCCTGCCTTGCCTCTTCCATACAGTCGGGGTCGCCGCCGCAGCCATGAGCGGGGGCGCTGGATGCTGGCCCATCGGGTGCTGCGCTTGGCCCGGGCCCGGCGGCGCGCGGCTGGGCCAGAGTGTGGTCGTCCCGGAGTAGGCTAACCGCACGGCCAGTCGGTCCCCAAGAGCGCGTCCCGCTTGATGACCCACGCGCGGCGCGCTGCGTCGGCTGCATCCCAGACGACCGTCCAGGCCTGCCGCACTCTCACGCTGAGGAGGCCAGACTCTCCGAGCAATGTGGGAGCGTCGGGTTCGCGCACCTCTTCGACTGGGCCAGCGAGGGGTCCTGGGCTGGCGGGCGTGTGCAGGGTGCCCTTCTCGCTGGGGCTGGTTGCCCACACCCTTGGCGCGGCGGACAGATTGTCGCGTGCCATGACGAAGTCTCCGGGGCCAGGTCCGTCATGCTGCCTCAGTGCGCCCTGAGAGGGTGGCTGGGGTCCAGCAGCGGGGTGCCTCTGCGGGCCGCGGCGTTGGCTTCGTCTTGGTTTTCTGACCAATCCGGCTCATCCTTCACAGGTGCACCGTGCTCGGCCAGGCGGCGCGGCTCACCAGGTGCGGCATCGGTGCAGGCTGTCTCACTCTGACCGGTTGCCAGGAGCGCAGTGGCTGCCTTGCTGCTGTGAGCGAGGTCGGCCTCGCGGGCGGGGTCTGGCGTTCTGCGCGGCGCTGTCGCTGGACCCCCTTTCGCCTCCCCCTCCTGTCGCGGGGACCGCTGGGCGCGAGGCGTCGTCGCGAGGTGGGTGGTTGGCGTCGTGGGTTGGTCCTGCGGGGCGGCACAACTCGGGAGTGCTAGCTGCGTTTGGCGGCGGGCCAGGTGGGGGCGCTGGGGCTGTTGTCTCCTCGGCGGTCCCTCCGTGGGCTGGGAGCGGTTGCTGCCTTGCGGCCTGTGCTGGCACGGTGTTGGCTGGGGCAGTGTAGTGTGCCAGCAGCGGGGAGTCCGGAGTGGGAAGCGTTTGGGGACGCCGTCCGCCTGGACATCATTCAGGTAGATCGTGGCCAGGAAGTCGCGATAGCCTGCCTCGCTCCATGCTCGAAGATGCCGCGGTACTGAGCCATGGGCGGCCCCCGGGCTAGCCAGGTCTCTCCTTTCGCGCCCACCGCCCCCACTCTTGCACGATCCCTTTCGTGGACTTGCAGCAGGAAGCTACCATGTCCTTCGCGATGGCGCTGTCGCGGGGTCCGGCTGCTCAGCCGGGCGACCTCTTGCACTGTGAGGTCGGGGCAGCGCGGTGGTGGCAGATGGGCCAGACCGCGGAGTACATCTTCTGGCCTGCAGGCGGGTCGCATGGCCGGGACGACGGCTTCAATCGTGGTGCGCAAGTTGCGAGGTGGCGTTCCGCGTAGCCCTCCTTTGTGCGCGGGCAGCCATCGAAGCCCGACCTGTTGAGGCCCCTGACGATGCTCAGGAGGACCTCGCGGGAGAGCAGCGCTGGGAGGTGCTCGCAGCCTTCAGCTGCACCGGGATCGAGATCGTCCCATTTGACAGCTGCGGACGGACACATGTTGTAGAGTTGTTTTGTGGCCAGAAAAGACATAACAGCGGTTTTCATTTTGAGCGTGCTCACTCTGTATATTATGAATGTCATTGCTCGACTTGTGCTTAGGGAGCCGCGAGTGCGTGACGATCGAATCTAGCAGACGATGACATAACATCCACGTTTATATGTTGGTCCAGTCGACATATTTGAGCGCTGGAATTCCAGCGTCCCCGCTTGCGTATTGAATGGCATAGTTTGCTGAGCAATCTCGTTGGCCATCACCATTTGTCTTGGGCCCCTGTTGTCGTATGTAAGGAAAGCCAAATGCACCCCGCATGCACGTCAGGTTTTCCCAGAGATTGTCGGTGTCCTAGCGCGGCGAACTACGCAAACTATACAATCACAACGATGACGTTATGCCCTCGGCTAGTTCAAATCCGACGGGCGGCGTGGGGTACCGATACGCGTGACCACGATGGGGCTGTTGGCTGCTCCACCAGGGCGATAAAACGGCTGCTGCACCGGAGCGATGAGATCGGGGTATCTCACCGGAGACTCCGACAATGACGTTTTTTCCGCGCAGACCCGTTTGTTGCGAGTTTTTGCCATTGATCATTGGCAGGATTTCATAACAACGCATCGCTTTAAAATGAATGGAATGTTGCTGCTTGTATCACTCTTACACATGATATCGTTTCAAAGTTCTCGCTGACTCCCAGTACGGACGCGCTGCATTCGAGCCAAGCCAATGTATACATGACCGCGGCGATGGCGGATTGCAGCTGCCGACCATTGAGGCCTACGAGACGAAGGTGGATGACATGGGACGACAATTTTCGAAGATTTGCCGCGGAGGAAGTCTTGCGGAAGTGCAGTGCAATTGCAAAGGATGGGGTCGCGCGGAGTTCCCTGTCTAAGGGTTTCGCTGTGTGGTTTTGCTAGCCGGTGTCCTCATCCGCATTTGTTGCTCTCTCTCTCTCTCTATTCTTCCTTGCCCTCTCTCAATCTCTCTCGACCCAGACTTTTCCTCTACGCCTTTTCATTTCCTCCGCCTCCTCCCCCTCGTTTCTCCCATCGTCCTCGTCCGCCTCCTTGTTTCGACCCCTCCCTATCCCGCGCCCTCGCCCCCCGTGCACCCGTGCGTCAGGGAAAGCAGGCGGATGAAGATGAGGAGCAGCAGGAGGAGGAAGAGGAGGAGGAGGAGGGGGAGGAGGAGAGAGGACGAGGACGAGGACGAGGACGAGGAGGGAGAAGGAGGAGGAGGAGGAGGAGGAGGAGGAGGAGGAGGAGAGAGGAGGAGGAGAGAGGAGGAGGAGGAGGAGGAGGAGGAGGAGGAGGAGGAGGAGGAGGAGGAGGAGGAGGAGGAGGAGGAGCAGGAGGAGCAGGAGGGGAAGAAATAGGAGGAGCGAGGAGCAGGAGGAGGAGGAGGAGGAGGAGGAGAAGCAGAAGGAGGAGGAAGAGGAGGAGGAGGAGGAGGAGGGCCCCACGCGGAGGAGTAGGGGGGGTGTGGCCAGCGAAGCGAGGCGCAGGGCCACGGGGCGAAAAACGCCAGGACTGGGCGGCGCGAGGGGGGGGGATCCTTCGGGCGGAAGGCCCCGCGGGAGCATTCCGACGACGACGAGCTCGAGGGTGAGCACGAGGGCACGACGACGACGACCACGAGCACGAGCACGAGGGCGAGCAAGGCGGCGAGCACGACGGCGATGCGGAGGCGGGTTCACGACGAGGAGCATGAGGGCGAGCAGCAGCGGTGCGCGCAGGCGACGCCCGCGCCGACGCCCGCGGCGCCCGCGGCCTCGCCGGCGGCTCCCGCCGCGGCGCCGGCGGCGGTGGTCACCCAGGCAGAGCGCCGCATCGTCGCTCTCCCTCTGTCCTTTGCCTCCTGTCCCCCCCCCCCCTCCCTCCCTCCTCGTACTTCTCCTCCTCCCCCCCCTCCTTCCCACTTCCTCCACTTCCTGCTCCTGATCCTCAGGGCCACCCATGCCCCTCTTCTCCTCGCTCCCCTGTTCTCCTCGCTCCCCTCTCCTCCTATCCCTCCCCTGCCTCCTGTCCCTCCCTCCCGCCCGTCACCTCCCCTCGTCTCCTCCGCTACCCTCGTGGTGAGCAGGAGGATCCCTTCCCCCCCGTCCTGTTACTGACTCCTCCCTCGTCGTCTTCAACATCATCGTACTCGTCCGCATTCCCTTGCCTTCTCCGTCCTCTCCTCATCAACTCTCTGACATTCCTCCATCCCTCCCCTCAGCTGCCTCGGGCTCATGTTGTCCCCATGGGCTCGAAGTGTTTCCCCTGGGTTCTGCATGCTGTCGCCTCCCTGGCTCCTCGTAGCTCCGAGTCAGCTCAGCAGCAGTCGCCGTTGTTGTAGCAGTCGCCGCAGCGGCACTGGCAGCAGTCACCGTCGTCGTCGTCGTCGCAGCAGCAGCAGCAGCGGATGCGGTCAGCGGCCGCTGCAGCCGTGAGCACGGCTGGGCGGTTGCCGGGCCGCTGTGCCGACGCGGTCGGGCGACACCTCGCGGTCACCACCACCCGCCTGTCGAGAGGAGCGTTGGCACCAACACCACCACCATCCCGAGGGGGGGCACCTTCAGCGAGCGGAGGGGATGGCTCGACCAAGATGGGGAGGACCACACCGCCAGGAGTGATGGGCCTGTTTTCCACCACCACCACCACCATAAGTTGGAGGGGGAGGGGGTCTTTCTCCTCCTCCTCCTCCTCCTCCTCCTCCTCTTCGTCCTCCTCCTCGTCGTCCTCCTCCTTCTGCCCTCCAACTTCTGGTGAGGACCCTCCCCGGCGCACCGTGCTGTTGTACCCCGCCTCTGTCCCACGGCTGTCGTCGTGTGGTGCGAGAGGCGCCGCCCAAGTGCGCCGGCGGCTGCGGCTTCTTTGGCAGCCCGACGTTGGAGGGCTATTGCTCGAAGTGCCACGCCGGCAGGCGAAAGGAGGCCCCGCGCGCCTCTTCTTCGGGCGGCGCTCGCCACTCGTCGCCGCCGCCGCTCGTCGCCGCCGCCGCTCGTCGTCACTGCCGCTCGTCGTTGCCGCCGATCGTCTTCGCCGCCACTCGTCCTCGCCGCCGCTCGTCGCCTTCGCCGCTCGTCGCCTTCGCCGCTCGTCGTCGCTGCCGCTCATCGCCGCCGCCGTCGCCGTCGTCGGCGGCGGCGGCGAACGAAGTTCGTCGACAGCGTTGTCTTCGAGGAGCACCAGCAGGAAGGATGGAGGAGGACGTTGAGTAGGATCAGCAGGAAGATGAGCAGGGGTGGAAGAGGGGCCCCTCTCCGTCCCCGGTGACGGAGACTGGCAGGCCGGGGGGGGGGAGAGTGCGGAAGGCTGGATGGAGTTGCAGGGAGGAGGAGGGGAGCGAGGAGAGAGGGAGACAAGGAGGGAGGAGGCAGAAGGGAGCGGAGGACGGAGAGGGGGACGAGGAGGGAGGAGGGAGAGTGACATAGGGAGGACGAGGGAGGAGGGGGAGGAGGAGGAGGAAGAGGAGGAGGAGGAGGAGGAGGAGGAGGAGGAGGAGAGGAAAGGAGGTGAAGAGGATGAGGATGAGGATGAGGAGGAGGAGGAGGAGGAGGAGGAGGAGGAGGAGAAGGAGAGGGTGGAAGAGGAGAGAGGAGGGGGAGGAGGAGGGAGGAGGAGGATGAGAGGAAGAGGAGGAGGAGGAGGAGGAGGAGGAGGAGGAGGAGAAGGAGGAAGAGGAGGTGGTGGAAGAGGAGGAGGAGGAGGAGGAGGAGGAGGAGGACGAGGAGGAGGAGGAGGAGGACGAGGAGGAGGAGGACGAGGAGGCGGAGGAGGAGGAGGAGGAGGAGGAGGAAGAGGAGGAGGGGGCTCGGCACCTCGGCACTGGCGCTCTTCGCCGCCGCTCCTCGCCGCCGCCGCCGTCGGGGCTGCCGCTGCTCGCCGCCGCCTTCGTCGTCGTGGCCGCTCGCAGCGCCAGAGGGTGCCGCGCAGCCTGGCGTGCCGCCCGCCGCCCCGGCCGCCGCGGCCGCCTCCGAGGCCCGCGCCGCCGGGGCGGGGCGCCTGGGGCCCAGTCGGGGCTCAAGAGACGGGGGGCAATGTCCCTAAGGGCTTGTCGACTTTTCGCCGATCGACTTGTGGGGAGCGAGCCAGAAAAATCCACGTAAATGCAGAGAAATCGAGGTAAATCCAGATAAATCCAGGCAAATCGAAACAAATCCGGGTAAATCCAAAGATCTCCGAGGAAAGGTGAAGCAACTCGCGGCCGCTCCAGCGCGAGTCGAAGGACGGCAGAAGTCGTTAAGCCTTTAACGACAATGCAAACGGGGGTCAGCCAGAGCTCCGTTGCTTGCAGGATCCTGCAGGGCCAGGGTCGCACCGACCTGGGCTCTGGCAGAGGATCCTGCAGGATCCTGCAGGATTCTTCGCCTGGGCCCGGGTTTGGGCGCAGGATCTTGCAGGATCCTGAAGGGCCCGGCTGACCTTGGTCTGGAATGACCAGGGGCAGACGATCCCTGACCCAGGCGGGGAATGGGGCGGCAGGGAGGGGCGGAGGGAGGGATGGGAGGGAGGGAGCGCCGAAGAAGGGAGGGAGGGAGGAGGGGGCAATGCTGAAACGCTGCCGAGCGCGCTCGAGCGCTAGACCAACAGCCCCGACCGCCAGCACTGCGACCGTCACGACCACCCTGGCTGTCGCGACAGGCATCCGTCAGGGCTGTTCGCCTTGCGCTTTCTGGCTCAGGCTTGTTTTTGTTTTCCGGCAGTGGTCCCCACCTTGGTTTGGCACTTTGCCTAGGCCCCGCTGGCCTTGAGAGTGTTTTTTCTGACCATCTTTCTGCTCCCCTCCCCTCGCATGGGAGGGAGGGAGGGAGGAGAGAGGAGGATCAGGACGGACGAAAGCGAGGGGGGAGAGAAGAAGGTTGGGAGGAGGATGGAAAAAGAGAGCGATGAGGAAGAGGAGGAGGAGGAGGAGGAGGAAGAGGAGGAGGAAAATGAGGAGGAGGAGGAGGAGGAGGAGGAGGAGGAGGAGGAGGAGGAGGAGGAGGAGGAGGAGGAGAGGACGATGAGGGAAGAATGGAAGGGAGGAGGGAAGAAGAGAGGGAGGAAGAACCAGAAGGAGGCCCCAGCCGACGTGCCCGCTCCTTCCAGTTTCGGCGCGTCGCTTTTGGAGGACCTCGCCCGAGAGTCGGTGGGATTGAGGGTCGGGGAGGGGAGGGGCACGCGGGCCCCCCATCGCCACGCTCGGGTGGAGCTGCCCGCGCAGGAGCACTTATCAGGAGGGAAAGAAGCACACAGACACACTTAATCTTCGATTCCCCAGAAAATATGGGAAAATATGGGAAGTGGGGGGGAAGACAGAAACCCAGAAAATATAGGAAAATATGGGGAATAGTTTTATTTGTGTGTATTTATTTGTGTGTCCTGGGGCCCCTTCAACTTACTCCGTCCATCCCTCCCCCCGCTCGCGACACGCAGCTCTTGCGGCAGACGTCCGAGGACTGCTGGAAAGTGCGGGGTGGGGGCGCGGAGAAGGACCTGCTGTTCAGGCTACTTTGATGTCGTCTTCCGCCCTCCTTTGCCCTCGCCGTCTCCGCCATATCCTCGCGGAAACAGCCGCCCCATGTTCCCGAGGCGGAAATCTCCGCCCCACGCTTTCGCATCGTTTGGGGTGTGTTTCCGCTGCAGTTGGCGAGTAGGCTTGGTCGTGGACAAAAAGCCTAGGGCCCACACTGCAGCCGTCCTCCCGTGCGGAGGAGGAGGAGGAGGAGGAGGAGGAGGAGGAGGAGGAGTGGGCAGATCAGGGGCACCGTTAGGAGAGGGAAGCATCGACCCCCGATCGCCCATCCATCGTCGATCTTGGCTCGATTGCCCACCCCGCCCAGGATCATGCGGACGTGCCATCCCCGGCCCATTGCCGATCCATCGGCGATACATCGCCGATTCGAGCCCGATGTTCCCCATACGCCGGTGCCATGTGCCCCCCTCGACAGCCCCCTCAGTGGAGGGGATTCTGCTAGGATCACCTGCCGCGCGTCGTGGACGAAAAACGCGCCCGCGGCCTCGCGGGCTGGGCCCCTGGGCCCCGACCCTGGGGATGCGGGGCGCTTCTCCGCGGACGCCCCGCGCGGAAGGTAACTATGTGCGACCGCGTACATCCGCAGGATGGCGCTCCAGAAGCCAGACCCCGCGAGGGCTAAGGCCCAGACCCCCGATGTCATGTTTTTTGTCTGACTTGGCATCGTTGGGACGTGTGCATCTCTACCTCGTCGAGGACCATTGGAGAGCATCTTGACTCATCGTCGAAAAACGAGTGCAACACGTCGAAAAATACACGGGCAATGGACGTCCGAGCGATGGCAAGTTGAACATGAACCCCCAAGTGGTCAGGAGCCCTTCCTGGGGACTTCGCTTTTCAGCTCGAGCTGGGCGTCGCGCAATGGGCTTGCGATCGGGGAGGGGGGGCAGCGAGGGCTGCCCCCCCCCCCTTCCGAGCGACGCCCCATCGAGCTGTGACTTGACAGCCCCGGGGCCCGGCGAGGGCCCCCAGCGGCCCAGAATCGCAGAAAACCTCTCGGCGTGCGACGTGCATGCCTCGGGCCGGGCGAAAGGGGGGGTTTGGGAAAGGGGGGGTTACGAAATTTGCTGCATGCAGCTGGTTTCGGCCTCACCGAGGGGCCCATTCCTCGATACATAGCCGCCTCCGGCGCCGGGAGGCGCCGGGAAAATCAGCTACGTGAGCTGATTCTCAAACCCCCCCTTTGCTATCCCCCCCTTTCGCCCGACCCGATCCTCCCCAGATGGTCTGGTACCAGAAATTTTCGGTAGCGATTTCGACGCACCCCGAATTTCGGTAGCGACCGGATCTTCGTTTGAGGGCGTTCAGATAGCGGATTTCAGAACGGTCTGATGCCGGTATTGGGCGCTACGTTTCGGTATTTCGGTAGCGACCGATCCCTGCGGAGCGCTACCGGAAATTTTCGGTAGCGGACCATCAGGGTCGTCCTCGGTTCCGTAGAGGAGATTTCTTCACGCCGGCGGCTTCCATGGAGGCCCATGGCAAAAGACGCCCTGCTTGCCCCCAGGGTGCTTCGGGTTTCTGGGGGTTCGATGGTTTTGCCATGGAAGGCGTGCCACTCCTCACCAGAAGTCCATGGATGCCGTCAGAGCGAGTGCCACCATGCAAGAGGAGGCCAAGGAAGGACACGGCCGAAGGAACATAAGAACGGGGCGGGTGGCTCAGGGGTCAGATCGTTCCCCGAGCGTGGTCGAAGAAGAAGCACACACGGAGCGAGCATAACGTCAGTTCTCGGACTTTCGGAGATCCGCGCGGACTTCTTGGATCGGCGCTGGGCCCCCCTGGCGCGGCCTCTGGCGCCGCCCCTGGCGCGCTCGGCGCGCCGGGGGAGGAGGGGCCAGCGCAGATCCAAGAAATCCGCGCGGACCTCCGACGGGGTATGCTCATGTCACTCATGTCTGGTCTTCCGCCGAACACGCAAGAAGCGCACTGGAGACGCCCCCCGAACGCGTCGCGAGCAGATCTCGACAGAAGTTACGGCCCTGGTCGGCCTCTGGAGGCCCTCTTGCGACAGCTCAGGCCCTGGCGCTCTGGCCCTCCGTCGTGTTGTAGGGCCGGCGCCCCAGCGAGAGGCAACAAGCTGGACGGGGGGCGGAGGCCTGTCCCGGAGTCGGCTGCACGTATGAATGATCTTGCTCCAGAGCGATAGCTGGTGCGGGCACGCTGGGGCTCTCACATGGCTGAGTGCGATGCGAGACCAGCGACTTGCGCGGCTCGGGTTTGGCCTCCCCGCGGCCACGGAAAGTCGCGCACCAGAGGTCATTCAGGCACAGGGTCATTCTTGCGAGAAGCCGACCAGAAGCACCGCTCGAGTGCACTCAGCTAGACGGGGTACCTGTCGCCAGCCTCTGAAAGAACCAACCGAGGTTGGGGGGAAAGAACCAATTGAGGACAACTGCGATGATTGTGATGGTGGCGATATTGGTGATGCGCTCACGAGTTGGCGACGATGTAAGACGACAATGCTGACGAGACACCACGTGTCACCGACGGGGCACCGACAGGACACCGACGGGACAAAACTGCGGGACACACCCAGCCACCGCCCGCGGATAGCGACGGGACACCGACGGTACACCACGGAAGGACACCACAGCGGGACACACCTGGCCACACGGGCCCACCGTAGGGGTGGTCTTTTGCCTTGACCCTCCCTAGCCACAGGAGAGTCGTTCCTCTCGCCCGTCCACGCACCTCAAGACAAGAACCCGAAACCGAAGCTGAATTCCCGGTGGGGAGCTCTCCGCTCCATTTCGGTCTCACCCCCAAACCTCCGATTTGCTTCTCCCTGGGCTCATTCAGGGGAGAGGAGCCAGGGTAGAGCGAAATGGCCCGGGCAAGCCACAGCGAGCGCCTGCCCCCAAGCTGGGGGGGGGGGGGGGGGGCGCATCCCGCAGCCGAGCAAGGTGGGACCCACCTCCGCCGTTCCTCGGGACGGTCCCCCGCTGGTTTTCAGCATCATCGTTCCCCACACATGCTCGCGTCGTGGAAAAAATACACGACGGGAGTTGATGTTATTGTTTTTGTTATTGTTTTCGGCCCTCGGGGGCCCTCGCCGAGCCCAAGGACCGTCAAAAGACGATGCAGGATGTAAACACTGGCCCCAGGGAAAGGGTCAGGACTCGTGGGGGCCGCGTGTGGAAAACAGTCAGGACGTCGCATGTCTGGGTTCCCAGCCCTGCGTGCTTTCAGCGCGCGGGCACACGCCGTCTTGCTCCGCGGGGCGGAGGCGGACCCCGGCCACCCCCGGGTCGGGCCACTCCTGCCACGCGGCATCTTGATGCCGATGGCGTGAGGCCCATGTTTCAGGAGGGGAAAAAACACACAGACACAATTAATCGTCGATTCCCAAGAAAATATGGGAAAATATGGGAAGTGGGGGGGAAGACAAAAACACAGAAAGTATATGGAAATATGGGGAATCCGGTTGTTTGTGTGTATTTAAGTTATTTGTGTGTCCCAGGGCCCCTTCAATGTTGTCAAGACAACATCGCCGGCCTGGTGTTGCTTTTCGGGGGGAGAGCCCCCCTGGTGGCCCCGTCGGGGCGGCAGCGGGGGGAGCGGGAGGAATCTGCGGCACCAGGCAGGGACGGGAGCAGGAGCCGGGCGCAGGGGCGGTTGTGCAGCCAGTGCGCCGAGATAAGCCGACAGCCCAACCTTGGCCTCACGCGGGGCCAGGGTGGTCGGGCCGGTCTTCCGATCTAGGCCAGGCAGCCCATGCTTCGCCGAGGCTCGCCGCCCCTGGGCAAGTGCCCCATTCCTTCCCTGTTCGTGGTTCCTCATATTATGGTAGGTAGCACGGTGATCGTTTTCTTATTCCTTGTTTAGCCGATCGGCGCGGGCCCTCGGACCCCCCCTCCCCCTCCCGTGGAGTAGATCCTGGCTGTTGTTGGCGCCCGTTTTAGGCAGAGCAGGCGGAGTCGGAGCTCTCCTCCTCCGGCTCCTCCTCGCTCCTCCTTCCTCCTCCTCGTCCTCCTCGCTCCTCCCCCTCCTCCTCCTCGCTCCTCCTCCGCCTCCTCGCTCCTCCTCCTCGCTCCTCCTCCCCCTCCTCGCTTTCCCTCCTCCTTCAAGAGACGGGGGTCCGTCTGAGCGCCAGGTCTTGCAGGATCTTCCAGTGCCAGGGGTACACTGACCTGGGGTCGGGCGCAGCATCCCGCAGAATCCTGCAAGGCCTAACTGACCCTGGTCTGGAGTGACCAGGTTAGAAGATCCCAGTTCGAGTTCAACTCCAGCGTCCAAGTTTCCGACTCCAGCTCCCTATTGTCTGACTCCGGCCGAGTTCCGAGTTCAGACTTGAGGCGCCCCGGCGCCCGTCGTTTTCCTTACAGGGGACGCCCCCTGGGCGACATCGGCGCCGCTCCGCTCCGTTGGAGGAGGAGGCGGCGAGGAGCAAGACGTCGAGGGCGGCGAGGGGGGGAGGCCGCGCGGCCGCCGCTCGCGGAGGCCAACGTCGAGGCCGAGGCGCAGCCCATCACCATCCAAGTCAAGAACGTGCCCCCCGCGCCCGCCGCTTTCGCGGCCCTCTTCTGCGTCCACATCCTCCGCGGACACGTGCTTCCGTCGTCGTCCTCCTCGCCCTCCTCGTCCCCCCCCCTCTGCTCTTCTTTACCGTCCCGCTCCGCCCTCGCGCTGCACCCCCCCCTCCTTCCCCCCGCTCGCCCATGGCATCCCCCCCCCCCCACAAGGCTCGAGGTCGGCATCCCTGTCGTTCCCTGTCGTCGCCCCCTCTCTTCCTGCTGCTCACCATTCCCCCGTTGCGCCTCCTCCCCCCTCCCCCCTCCTGAAGCCTGGCCCCCGTGCATCGACGAGGGCCACACGCTGGAGCCACCACTCTCTTGGCCGAGATCCTGGACCAGCCGGCTCGAGGCCCGTCCCCAGCAGCAGCCCCCCCTCCCGGCGCGATGCGCCGCCGCGCCCCAGGTCAAAGGCGACGTGTCCTTCACGGTGGCCGCCGACGGGGGCTGGAGCGCCGCCCGGCTGCAGCAGGCGGCGGCGGTCGCCCGCGGCCAGCCGCGGAGGACGGGCAGGGCAGCGGGGGAGCAGGAGCAGGAGCGGGAGCAGAAGCAGGAGCATCAGCCGATCGCAAATAGAGAGGGCGTGGATTAGCGACGGGTCCCGTTCCATGGGAAATCGCGGAGTTCCGCCGCCGACCGAGGTGGCACCGGCCGCACTCTGGGGAGGAGGGCACCTCCCCCGATCCATGGCTCTGGCGACTGCGCGCCAAATTCATGGATTGCTCATCCATGTTTGCGCGCCCCGCAGAGCAGGAGTAGGGGAGGAGGCCTCCTCTCGATTGCACCATGCCAGAATCATCGCGGATGAACGAACACCACAAACATAGACTTGTGGCGCTCCGCGCGGATTTTTTGGGATCCGCGCGGACCGCCAAACGCTTATTTGTGTGCCGTGTTTGCTCCTCGACCCCCACGATTCCACCATGTCACGATCGGGTCGGGCGAAAGGGGGGGATTGGGAAAGGGGGGGTTACGAAATTTGCTGCATGCAGCTGGTTTCGGCCTCACCGAGGGGCCCATTCCTCGATACATAGCCGCCTCCGGCGCCGGGATGCGCCGGGAAAATCAGCTACTTGAGCTGATTCTCAAACCCCCCATTTGCTATCCCCCCCCTTCGCCCGACCCGACTCGAGCAAGGTCTGCAGCGAACCAGCTCGAAGCAGGCCGGACGATGCGGGGGCGCCAAGGGGCGGGCAGCACCCAGCTCCTCGGCCCCCTGGGCGCCCGCGTGGCCCCAGGCCCTGGCCTTGGCCGAGCTTCCGTCCGCCCCCCCCCGTCCCCCCCTTCTTGCCCACTCCTCGGGAGGCAGGCCGCTCCGTGCCCCATGCCGAGAGGGGGAGGAGCTCCGGGAGGAGGAAGAAGGAGGTGGAGGAAGAACGGGAGGAGGGGAAGGAGAAGAAGGAGGAGGAGGAGGAGGAGGAGAACGAGGAGGAGGAGCGAGGAGGATAAGGAGGAGCAGGAGGAGGGACGTGGGAGAACGGAGAGACCCAGCCCCCTTCCCCCTCCCTCTCCATCCCGCCATCAGGGCCGCCCTTGCGCCACCTGCGCCAGGCGGTCGTGGCGGCCGCGCCGGCCGGGCTCGTGGAGGAGGGCAAGATTCTCGCCCGCCGCTCAGTTCGAGGCGGCAGGGATGGGAGGCTCGATCGACTTGCGGAGACCAAGCTAAGCAAATCGAGGTAAGTTCATATATGACCCGCATCAATCCATCATGTATTCAATTCTTGAGATTCCATAGATCTCGACGGGCACCTGCAGAACGCAGGGGGGATGGGCGATTCGACGCTCGAGGTTTGCGGACGTGCTCGCTGCTTCTCGTCTGCCTTCAAGCCCCAGTGTGCCCTCCAGCAGTTGCGCCTCGCCGCGGGGCGTCTGGGGTTGCCCGACTCGTCCACAAAAGCCGCCAGTTACCCGAGTTGTGACCCGAAAGCCAGACTACGAGGATCATGAGGGGCGCCGTGAAGGCAAATCATCTTTAGGGAAACGGGTCCTCGGGTTTTTGTCGTCTTCGAGCTCTCGGGGCTCTCCACGGGTTCCGGGACCATCAAAAATGAAGAATTGAGCCTGGGGGAAGGCCCCCAGGGTCCAGGACCCGTTTCCCTGAGGACCCGCTCTTTTCATGCCACGAGGGGCGGGGGGGATCTTTCAGACGATTCGGCCAGGCTTGCGCGGATGTCCCCAGAAGCCTACGGAAGCTTTTGGAGGACCAAACGGGCCCCCAATTCAGAAAAGCCCATAACCTCGATCTTTGAACGTCAGTCCTCAGCAGGAGTAGGAGGAGTACGCGATCGATCACAAGGGTCCACGCGCTCAAGGCTCTGGGGCTTGGCCAAAGATGACGCGCTTCGCCCTCGGGCACAGGCTTCGGCCGACCTCTGATTGCCCCCTCATCACCGAGAGGGGCCCGACAGCTCACCCCGCCACGGAACGCGCGGATTTGCCACGGGGGACCTCTCGCCGAATGTTAAAAATCATCCAAGAATAGTCCAAAAATAGTCTGGGGACTATTTTTTTGCTTGTTTTTTTTGCCTTTTTGGTATATTGTTGGGGTATCTTCAATTTTTCGTCGAAAATCCCCCTGTTTGGGGGACACGCCGGACATAACCTGGAGCCGGCGCCCCCCTCACGCTGCCCCCCCTCGATGGGGGGGGGGGGGGCGCTGTCCAGGCGCTGGGCAGCGCGGCGGGATGGGACCCGCCATGGTGGGACTCCGCCGCGCGCAGAGGGGGGGGAGGGCTTCGTAGAAGCACCCCTGCGTCTTAGGAGGCGAAGGCCTTTATAGGGTGGGGGGGGGAGGGCTTCCGAGAAGCACCCCTGCTTCTTAGAAGTCGAAGGCCTTATGTATGTAGACGCAAGGCTGGCGCCTTCTAAGGAGCAGCCTCCTCCTAAGAAGCCCTCCCCAATATGCCTCCACCCTCCTTGTGCGCACCGCCATGGGACAGAGCTCTCTCCTCTGGGGGCTGCCCGGCATCCTGCCGGGGCCGTTCCTCCGCGGGCGGGCAAGAGGCAAACGGTGGCCTTCTCTTAGTCTCAGGCCCCCACGGGCGGGCTCCCATCGGGGCCGACCCGTGCGCGGTGGGGCAGCAGGGGCACGCCTTCTGCCCTGCGTGGCTTGTGCGGTGCCGCCTCTTGTAACGATGTCCTCAGCTTTGGCCCCGCCCTCAAGTTCGACGAGGCAGCGGGCGGGGGCAGCCGTCCAAGGCTCGCGGAGGAACACGAGGTCGCCTACGACGGTTGCGGCATCACGCTGGCCGTGCAGCGTTAATTTTGCCCGCGTTCGACTGGGTCGCTGACGCGCAGCTGTTCAAGTCTGCAGCGGAGGACAGGGCCGCTCGTGAAAATTGGTGTCCTGGTGGTCGTTTTGTCCAGTGGGCCTGGCCGGCAGGAAGCGTGTATAGTGGGTGCTGGTAAGCTGGGTGATGTCCTGAGCTGGTCGTGATGCTGTCCGATGCTCGCATTGCGCTCTTGCGCAGATTGGCGCGGCCGCTCCGTCCGATTCCGCCGGTTTTCTAAGCTGCCCTCTGAGCTTGCGTGCGCGGGCACACTCTAGGTCTCGGCCGCCGTATTAAATGTGCTTCGCTTCGTCACCGCGCGCGAGGCACCGAACGCCCCCCTCTTGGCCTGGCCGTTTCCTTGGTTGATGCTGGCGTATTTTGGTAGAGTGGTGGTGCGCACTGGACGATGCCCAGCTTGATGGGCCGATCTTCCACCACCACCACCACCACAGGAAGGAACGGGAAGCGGCAGGAGAAGGAGGAAGGCCTACCCATCCTGTCTTTTTCCCCGTCCTACCTATGGTAGCAGTGGCGGAACATCGGCCCATCACAGCTGGACTTTCTCTCCCCTCCCCCCGCTAACGATGGCCAGCCGCGGCGTCCTGACCAAGTGCGCAGTGGAGGGCAGCGCCGCATGGTCGTGAGACCACCCTGTGGCCATCTTTTGGCGGTCCTGGGGCCCAGCAAGGGCCCCAAGACGCAAAAAACGGCTAGAAGCTGTCCTCCGTGATTTATCCACGACGCGAGCGAGTTTGCGTAGGCCCTCCGCTCCAGCGGGGGTCTGCGGCGCACGCGCGCGCGCATGCGCGCGGCGGCGCGTCGAGTCGCCGCCTGGTCATGGGAGACACCCTCCGGCCTCGTGATGGTCAAGGGGCCTGGGGGCGTCGGGCGGTGCGGTGGGGTTCCCTTGCGCTGGCCCCAGGTTTCGTCCTCGGCGCCCGTGCGCGCAGCAATTCAGAGTCTGGCGGGTTGAGACAACGGTAGTCGGCCTTCGGGGTGACACCTTCGCCGCCACGGCTGGACGTAGTTCGGAAAGTTGGTGCAATTAGACCTCAGGAAGGGTCAAACGTAAGCCTTGCGCCGGACGGCGCGCGAGCAGGATGAAACAGAAAGCCATTAGCTCCGAAAAGCAGCACTATTCATAGCGGGTTCCACTTCTTTACTGCCGCTGTTCCGTTGTCGCGACAGGAAAATGCAGACAATGCCTCCAGGAAGCAGCCGCTGACAGACAATTGCGCGTGACCATGGTGCCCCGAGATTGTTTTGCGCATGTCCAGGAGGCGTCCAGGGACCGAGTTTGAGCTGAGGGTGTTTCAACTCGCCCTGCTACGTGAAGATCGGATCGGAGTCGTCCTGCTGCTTGAGGCTTTTTCAACTAGACTCAGGCAAGTTGACTTGCATGGCATTTCTGTTCCCCCGTCGGTCGCCTTTTCCAACAGCGCTGGGCCGAAGCGGCGTGCAAGTGGGTCACGGCGTTCGTGAAGCCCTGATTTCTTCTCGGGCCACACCAAGATCCCGCCCCCCCGCTCCCGCCCCCCATGCAAGCAAACTCGCCAGGGTCAGAAGGAAAATTGCATCCTTCAGGTGCCGCTCGAGGCTCTGGCCGTGGGCGCGGGCTACACGAACGGGCGGGCGGGGAGACGGTGGCCGGGTCACCGTCGCACGGAGGTGGTGGTCTGAACGCGCGCGCGAGCGTCGGCGGCCCGCAGCGACCGTCGGCCCACCCGGCGACCTGTGCGCGCGCCAGCGTCACCGAGAGGCCATTGGTGTCGGCGGCCTGCAGCGGTCGTCAGCCCACCCGGCGACCTCTGAGCGCGCGCGACCGTCTCCGATTGGCCACTGGCATTTGCGGCCGCCGGCAGCCTTCGTCGGCCCAGCCGGCGGCCTCGCCCCGCGCAGGGCCCTTGGGCGCGGTGTGTCCCCTCGCTTGTTCCCCGCGCGGCGGGGCGCTCCGAAGGCCAGCCAGGCTCATGGGGGCGCAGTGGACGTCCTTGTCTAGATCAACAGCAACGAGCGAGCGAGCGAGCGAGGACGCTCTTGCCGAGAGGCCGAGCAGGCCAGAAACTCATCGGGGAGCAGGAGGAGAAAGGGTGCAAGGGGGGGCGGGGGAGGGGGCACTCAAGCAGGAGGAGGAGGCGGTGCAGGAGGAGGGAGAGGGGAAGGAAGTGGAGAGTGGGAGAGGGAGCACGAGGGGGGATAGCAGGGGAGGGAAGGAAGAGCTGGAGGGCGGCGACGAGGAGAGGCTGCGGAGGAGGAGGGGAGTAAGGAAGGATGAGGGGCGACGAGGGAGGACGGGAGAGGAGAAGGAGGAGCGACGATGGAGGCACGAGAGGAAGACAGTGGCACGACAACACGACAACGAGGCACGAGGCAAGATGATGATGGTGATGATGATGATGGTGATGATGATGGTGATGATGATGATGATGATGGTGATGATGATGATGCTGATGCTGATGGTGATGATGATGATGATGATGATGATGATGATGATGATGCTTATGCTGATACTGATGCTGATGCTGATGATGATGATGATGATGTTGAGGATGACGAGGATGAGGATAATGATGATTATGGTGGTGGTGATGCTGATGATGATGATGAGGAAGATTATGAGGATGATGAGGATGATGAGGATTGTGAGGATGATGAGGCTGATGAGGCTGATGACGATGACGGTGCTGACGGTGATGATCATGATCAGGATCATGGTCATGATCATGACGTTGTTGATGATGATGTTCATTATCATGGTCATGCTCACTGCTGATGATGCTGCTGCTGATGACGATGAGCATGCTGATTGTGACGATGATGCTTGTGATGATGATGGTGATGATGATGATGATGATGAGGCTGATGATGAGGATGATGAGAACGTGGAAGAGGAGCAGGAGCAGGGCCAGGATGGACGAGGAGGAGGAGAATGATCATGCGCAGATTGATATGGAAGCGCAAGGAGCAGAGTCAGGAGGGGGAGGAGGAGGAATTGGATTTGATGAAGAGGAGGAGGACAAGGCAGCAGTCGAGTCCTCCTGGTTTTCGCCGGAATGATCATGTTGCGATTGCCGCTCACCCATAATCTGCCTCATTGTTTGGGATATCGTTTTCGTTGTCGTATTCGTCCTCTCTGTTCTTCCCATCCTGCTCATCCTTCTCGCTTCCTTCATGCCTGCTATGCTTCTGGCTCTTCCTGAACCTCCGCCCGCACTCCTCGTCTCGCCAGCTTCCCCTATCCGCCCATGTCTTTCGCCTCGTCCTTCCGCCCTTCCTCCTTGCCCATCCTCCTCTCTCTATGCTCCTCGATCCTCCTCAATCCTCCCCCGCCAGGAGGAGGAGGGCAGGATGGAGAACCGACGGAGGAGGGAGGGGGGCAACACGGATAAAGGGGGATGCGGGGGGGGGGGGGACGGAGGGCGGAGGCCAGGGGCGTGTTGGTGCTGCCGCTCGATTCCTCCTTCTCCTCGTACTCGGCTCAAGTCTGCTTGAGTTCAGGCAGGCTTCGTCCAGGAGCCGACTGTCGCGTACCGCCAGGGGTGTGCATTGCCACTGAGCGCGCTGACCCTGGCCCGCGCTTGAGTGGCAGCGAGAAGCTGCGCAAGTGGAGCCGGTCAGCCTACAGTCTACGGCAACACTTCCGTTCGCGCGGCTGGCGACTGCATCCACGGCGTTTCCACCTTTAAGTGGTTGCAGGGGGTTGCGTATCAATCGGGGCCGTGGGCGAAAGTTCAGCTCTTTTGGGGCCTCGGTGGCTTTGTCAACTGCAGTGCTGCATCCTCCCAGAATTGCGAAAAGTGCATTCCAATCCAAGCTTGTATGGTTGGTGCTGCCCGTCACGGCCTTTCGACATTGAAGGGTTCGCTGGTGGTCAGGTCCTCCATCAAACATTTCGGATGTGAGTGTCGTCTTCAGTTCTGATTGTGCTTCAGGTGCTTCGTCAACTACAGTGCGGTACTCCCACAGCCTCATGGGGAGCGCATTAAAATGCAAGTTTGTATGGTTGGTAGCGTCCATTACGGCTGTTCGTTATTTGCGGGCTGGTTGGCGGTCAGCCTTTCAAACTAACAACTCGGCCGTGGGTAAGTTTGCAGCACTGGAGGGGCCTCAGTGGCCCCGTCATCTGCAGTGCCGCCATTTTCCCACCGCCGAATGGGGAGTCGACTGGCAGATTCCAAGGTGTTCCTGTTTGCAAGCCGTGACCTACAGGTGCTTCGAGGCGCATACACTACTGAGTGTGGCATGAGCTTGAGTGAATCCATACCGTTCTGGTCAGACAGTACGGCTCCGCGGGATATCGGCCCAACTCGTCTCTCTCCGCCACCGCAAGTTGCTGGGCCACAGCGGGGCATTCCAATTCAAGTGTGTATGGCATGTGGCGTCCGCTGGTGGTCTGTTAACAACTTGGCCGCGGGGGGTGTCTTCAGTTCTGTTTAGGCTCCAGAGGTTTCGTTTGATACAGTGCTGCAGTGCTCCCACAGCCGCTCGGGGAGTGTATTTCAACAAGTCCGCCCCACGTCTAGAGTACGTTGCTTGATGGACGGACAGTGTCCCTGCCTTGCGTGTGCCAACAGCGGATCGGAAGCATCGTCCTGAGGTTGTTAGCTGCGTGGGAGGATGGGACCGCAGCTGTCAGGACATACGCGCGGGCGCCAAGAGGGTGGGCATCACATTGCACGTCAGCCGTAGTCAGGCAAATCCAGAAGCAGGCCACGCGCAGCACGCTGGACCTGGTCGCGGGCGGGCAACAGTGCATGCAGGGGCGGGGGGGGTTTTGCTGGACATTGCAGCTCGGGCGTCGTGGTGTTTGATCCAGCCTGGCTGAACTTGTTTAGCTTTTCCGCCGACACCTTCGGCGTTTTTGGCTTTTTCCTCCTGCTGGAGTTGCTGGGCCAGGCGAAGCTCGGCACCGTGCTGGACTTCGGCACCGTGCTGGACTCGCTGGGAGCCCTCGGCGCCCTGGGAGCGCCGTCGGAGGGCTGCGAGCTGGTGAGCACGGGCCTGGCGCAGGCTCCGTGCTCCCTGGCGGGCGCGAGGCCCGCTTCCCCAGGCGTCCGCAAGGGTTGGACTTGAGACCTCGGAGGCTGCAAGGCGGTTCTGGGCCCTTGTGGCTCCGTTCTTGCAGCCATCTGAGGTCTCGGGTTCGGCTCTTGCGAGCCCTCGGCCCGTGCGCGGGCCCGTCCGACCGCCTCTCGGCTTCTGCTCGCTCGCTCGTCCTTTTCGTTCTCCTCGTCCTCTTCGTCCAACTCCTCGTCGTCCTCGTCGCCCCTCCGATCGCGCTCCACTCGCTCCTCGGTGCCGAGGTCTTCACCCACAAGGGCAAGCTGCTGCCCGACGGCGCGACCACGCCGCTCCGGCGGGGCGGCGGTGGGGCGCCCGGGCCCAGGCGAGGCAGTGTTGCCCCTCCATCAGCTCGGGGGCGGCCAAGAGGGGGTGGCGACCTGTGAGGGGTGAATACCATGGCGTGGGCCATGATATTTCCTCAGGTTTCACGGCGCCTCTTCTTATTGAATCGCTTCGCTCATGCCGCCAGCCCATAATTGCGTGTTGTTGTCGACTGACCGAGTGGTCTTTCGCGGTGCGGAGCTGCAGGGGCGGCGGCTGTTTTTATCAGGCGTTGCGTTCGGCATGTGAGGCTTCTTGGTGGCCGCTCGGGGAGTCTTGAACGCGTCGCGGGCCGTCTGGAAGTGTTGTGCCTATGGGAACTCTTTCGGGAGGCCTCTTGGTGGCCTCGTGGGAACTCTTAAACGAGTCGGGTCGTTGGCACTTGCTTGCGTGCTCGGGGGGGCATTGGGGGGGCCTCCTGGGGCCGCTTGGGGACCTCTCGGAGGCCTCCTGAGGGCCTGTAGGGGGCCTCTTAGGGGCCTCTTGGGGATTCCTGGGGGCTTCTTTAGGGTCGATGACTCAATTTTTGTGTTCTCCCCGTGGGACCTCTTTTGGGGCGTTCTTTTGGCCGTCTTGGAAGCCTCTTGGGCCGTCTTGGCTCTTTGGCCGTCTTGGGGTCTCTTGGGGGCCTCTAGTTGCGTCTTGGGGCGGTCTTGGGGGCCTCTTGGGCCGTCTTGGGGTGTGACGAAGCTGAAAAGGCGGAAACGACAACATCTCCCCAAAACCTTAGGACACGCAGTGCTGCTTGCCTCTTGGGGCCCTCCTGGGGCCGCTTGGGGGCCTCTTGGGGCCTCCTGAGGGCCTTTTTGTGGGTGTCTTGGGGCCGCTTGCTGGGCTCTTGGGGATTCCTGTGGGCTTTCTTAGGGCCGAGAGCTCGACATATTGATTCGTGTTCCCCCCTGGGACCTCTCTTGGGGCTGTGTGGGGCCTTCTTGAGCCGTCTTGGAGGCCTCTTGGGCCGTTTCGAGGCCCTCTTAGCCCGTCTTGGAGCCCTCTTGGGGGCCTCTTGGGCCCTCTTGGGGTGGTCTTGGGGGCCTCTTGGGCCGTCTTGGGGTTTCGGGGAGCCGAAAAGGTGGAAACGTCAAAACCTTTTTACAACACCTAAGGACATTAGCCTGGCGACGGACCCAACCGTCTGCAGTTGTGAGTACCGCAATTGTGAATATGTTCTCCAGTGGCGCTCCTTACGGGGCCACGAACCGCATGAGGGGTGTGCCGAATTGCGCGGCGGGGTGCACAACACGAACGAAGACGATTGGTCGAATTACGAGAGACTGAGCGCGGGTGAGTCTGAGCGCGGGTGAGTCAGAGTGTGAATGAGTCTGCGTGCGAGTGGGTCGTGGGCGAGTCAAGCGCGCAAACAGAAGGAACTCTGGGCCACTTGAGCCTTCGGTGTGCCGAAACGGGAGGAGCGCTTACATGCGAATTGTGTCACGGGTGCCACGAAGCGTGTGAAAGGTGTGCCAAAATTGGCGGCGGGGCCATGCGGGCTGCGCCACTGGGGCCTTCGGTGGAGGTCCCCATGGGGCCACGAAGCGTGCGAGGGTGTGCCCAAATGGGGCGGCGGCCCCATGCGGACTGCGCCGCTGGGACCTTAGGCGGAGCTCCGTATGGGGCCACGAAGCGCGTGAGGGGTGTGCCAAAATGGGGCGGCGGCGCCATGCGGGCTGCGCCACTGGGACCTTCGGTTGAGCTCCCCATGCGGCCACGAAACGTGTGAGGGGTGTGCCCAAATAAGGCTGGGATGGCATGCGGACTGCGCCACTGGGACCATAGGTGGAGCCCCCCTATGGGGCCACGAAACGCATGATGGGTGTGCCATAATGGGCCGGGGGCACCATGCGGGCTGCTCCACTCGGACCTTAAGTGGAGCCCCCTTTGTGGGGCCACGAAACGTGTGAGGGGTGTGCCAAGGTCCAGCGGCGCCGCTATTCGGGCTGCGCCATTGGGACCTTCGGTGGAGCTCCCTATGGGGCCACGAAACATGTGAGAGGTGTACCAAAATGGGGCGGCGGCGCCATGCGGGCTGCGCCATTGGGACCTTAGGTGGGACCCCCCTATGGGGCCACGAAGCGTGTGAGGGGTGTGCCAAATTGGGGCGGCAGCGCCATGCGGGCGGAGCTCCGTTTGTGGGGCCACGAAACGTGTGGGGGGCGTGCCAAAATGGGGCGGCGGCGCCGTGCGGGCCGCGCCACTGGGACCTTCGGTGGAGCTCCCTATGGGGCCACGAAGCGTGCGTGTGAGGGGTGTGCCCAAATGGGGCGGCGGCGCCATGCGGACTGCGCCGCTGGGACCTTCGGTGGAGCTCCCTATGGGGCCACGGAACGTGTGAGGGGTGTACCAGAATGGGGCGGCTGCGCCATTGAGTCTTACGATGGAACTCCCTATGGGGCCACGAAACGCGTGAGGTGTGTGCCAAAATGGGGCGGCGGCGGCGCCATGCGGGCTGCGCCACTGGGACCTTCGGTGGAACCCCTTTAAGGGGCCACGAAACGTGTGAGGCGTGTGCCGAAACAGAGACATGCGGAGAGCAATGGCAAGGAGGGGGAGGAGGGAGGAAAGGAGGAGGAGGAGGAGGAGGAGGAGGAGGAGGAGGAGGAGGAGGAGAACGCGGCGCACCGTCTCTTCAAAACGAGGACCCAACACCACAGGATGGTTGGGACAAAATTGCGGAGTGTGCCTCTTATGGGCCCTCCTGGAGCCGTTCGGGGACATCTTGGGGCCTCCTGGGGGCGTGTTGGGGGCGCCTTGCGGTCTCTTACGGGCCTCTTGGGGACTCCTGGGGCCTTCTTAGGCCCGAAAGCTCGACAGATTGATTCGTGCTCCCCCCCTGGGACCTCTCTTAGGCTTTGTGGGGCCTTCTTGAGCCGTCTTGGAGGCCTCTTGGGCCGTTTCGAGGCCCTCTTAGCCCGTCTTGGAGCCCTCTTGGGGCGGTCTTGGGGGCCTTTTGGGCCGTCTTGGGGTGTCGGGAAGCCGCAAAGGTGGAAACGCCAAAATCTTTCCCAAACCAAAAGGGAAATCAACGAATGTTGCCTCTTGGGGCCCTCTTGAGAGTGCTCTGGGAGGCGTGCTGGGCCGCCTGGGGGGCATCTTGTGCGTCCTGGAGCGATCTTCTGGCATCTCGGAGCTCTCTTGTAGCATCTTGAGGGGGCTCTTGGCGGCCGCTTGGCCGGCGGCGCCCAGGAGGAAAACCACCTCTGGTCCGCAGCGCCCGGGCCTCGCCCGGGGTGCTTTTCCTCTGGGGGCCCTCAGGGCCGCCCCGCGCGCGCTAAGTAGAACTACTGTGAAGCAGTCACCGGAGATTTTAGCACGCCTCTGGCCCGTTGGGCCGGCGAAGCTCACTACGGTGGGGGCGTTGGTGGAAGAGTGTGCCCCGGGGGCTTCAGGCCCTGGAGGGTTCCTTGTCTGATGAGGGCGGCGGTGATGTCCGTGGCCAATCCACGATTGGAATTCCGATGGCTTCCAGACCCTGGATTCCTTATCGAAGGCTTCCTTATCCAAGGCCCCCGCCGTACGCCCCTGGCCCCGCCCTGGGCGCACGTGCCGCCGGCCACGATTTGCGCCCCCCCCTCTTGGAGACGCCCCCGCTCTTTGGCCGCCCCCGATCAGCGGGAGGGGGCGGCCTCCAGGGGGGCAGGCGGAGGGCCACCTCTGGACGAGCGCCTCGTCTGTACCTCCAGCGGGAGGGGGAGGGGGGGAGCAGGAGCGTTTCCTCTTCGGGGAGAGGGGCGGGGAAGGGTGGGGAGGGCGAGGGGGGCGCCTTGTCCAGGCGGGGAGAGGTGCGAGGGGCTGATCCCGAGGGGGAGGGGTCCGAGGGGCAGGGGGGTCGGAGAGGGAAGAGGGGCATGCGGGGACAGGGAGGGAGAAGCAGGGGGAGGAGGGAGAACAAAAAGGGGGGCGAGGGGAGAAGGACGAGGAAGACGACGACGACGACGAGGAGGCGGAGGAGGAGGAAGGAGTCCGCAGACGTCTGGAGCAGCAGGCAGCCCATGGCTCGCAATGGGCACCCTTCATCAACTCAGCCCTCTCCTCCGGTATGGTATCGTGGTCATGTGCGGGCCAACGGCCGCTGTGCTTTCTTGTGTTGACTCGATGTCGCAGCCAGCGCTTTCACGTGGCTGTTTCCCGCGCTGTGGTATCATTGACTTGCTCGACTGATCCATGTGGGGGCTTGTTCGTTGTGTGATGCGCCATGCTCGGTATAGCCGCTGTTCCTGAAAGGATTCGGTTCCCGTTCCTCCCCATATCACTCACCCCTCGCCCTCCAAATCACATTTCTCCTTCTCGTCGTCATCCCACCCCCTTTCCTCACTCCGGCTCCGCGGGAGGGAGGGAGCGCGGCTTCGTCGACAACACGCAGATTTTCTTCCTGCTCAGATCAAAGCCCCTCCGCTGGGCAGATCAATCGAGTGTGCACTCGGGGGGCGGGATGGACGGCAGAGGAAAGGAAGGAGGAGGACACCATATCGGAGGGATGAGGAGAGGAACGAGGAGCGCCGGACGAGGAGGAGGAGGAGGAGGAGGAGGAGGAGGAGGAGGAGGGGGGCAGGGGGGGAAGAGGGAAGACGGGGAAGAGGAACGGGTGGATGAGAGGTTGAGCGGAGAAGAGAAGATGAGAACGGAGGAAGAGAAGGAGGATGAGGAGGAGTAGGATGAGGCGGCGAAGGGCGGAAGGGCAGACTAGGCGGTCTGTGTACGGCATCGGCGCGTTTTTGAGAAAAGCGCGGTTTCGCCTTGTTTCTTCGGTTCATCGTCCTCCCCGTTCTCCCTCGTCCTCCGCCTCCCTCTTCCCCGTCCTTCTCGTCGTCGTCGCCCTCGTCCAGCCTCATCCACCTCACCGTCCCTCCCTCTTCTGGTTCCGCTTTCCCTTCCCTTCGCCTGCTCCTCCTCCCCCCACCCTCAGCCGCCTTCTCCTGTCTCTCGTCCTCCGCCTGGTCCTCTCCTCTCTCCACCTCGCCCTGCTTCCTTCCCTACAGTCGGGACGCTGGCATAAGGAACCCTAAATAAGAAGCCCCCTCTTTTTCCGTAAGGTAAACTTCGATTCCCCCAAGGAAAACCTAAGCCAAGCTGCAACACAATTAAGGAACCTTGAGCTCCTCCCCAACGAACAGGGTTCCTTCGTCAGCGCCCCGACTGTACTACTCCTCCTTGTCCCCCCCCCCTCCTCTTTCAGCAGAGCGACGGTGCTATAGCGCGACGTGGCCTTCGGAGTCGCAGTGCGCGTTGGCGGCCCTTGTGCTTCCTTCTTCAAGAAGCAAAACGAACGCCTGGACCCGACAACCGGCGTTCACTTCACGGCCCTGGGCGTTTACTAAGCAGCCTTGCAATGCTCGATTCCTTCCGTGGATGCGCTTACGAAACAGCTTGGCGTGTCGGGGTGATTCTTTGTGGGGGTGGATGTTCCGGTCTCTACTCCTGGCGCACAGGCGCCCAGCAGGCTCGAGGTGATCAGGGCATGGATGCCGCAGCACAGGCTTGCTGGTCCTGGGTAGGCAGAGCACATTTCGATCCGATCGATCCGATTCGATGTCGATATAGGTCGGCCCGCTCCGATTCGACTCCGATCTCCCGACGGTCCGAGGCGGCCCGATGCTTACATAGCGCAGCTGTGCATCCTGGAGCGGCATATCAAACTCGATTCCGACTCCGTACCGAGACAGGCCGAGCCGACGCACGAGACGATTCGATTCAATGTGTCGATTCGATGCTGGCCGCTCCTGGGTAAAGGCATATGACACGTAGGCAGCTTTCTGGCGGTGGGGTAGGCAGCTAGGCAGGCATCTGTCTATCTCCGGCCAGGACAACCAGACTATTCTCCTATGCCGAAGCCGCGACCGAGTCAGAGCTGGAAGGAATGAGCGGGAGGAGGGTGGGGAAGACAGGAGGGCCGATTGGAAGAGTCGGAGCTCAGGCAACCCTGCGAATGGCGCGATTTCTGGCGGTCGGTGCAGGGGAAGGAGGTTTAAGAGGAGGAGGAGGACGAGGAGGAGGAGGAGGAGGAGGAGGAGGAGGATGGGAAGGAGGTTTAAGAGGAGGAGGAGGAGGAGGAGGAGGAGGAGAGGAGGGAGGAGGAGGAGGAGGAGAGGGCGTCGACGTCCACGGCGCCGTCGGCGCTGAGAACCTGCGGCGCCGGTGCGTTGGCGGCGGCCGCTCCAACCGCGCGGGCCGCCGCTCCGGGCAGCGCACTGGACGTCCAGCAGGCCCGAGGCGACCGCGCCGCCCACGCCGAGGCCCACGGTGTCGGGCAGCTGCGGCAGGGACGTCGCGGCCCACGATGTCGGCACGACGTCCGCCGACGCCGGGACGCCTCGCCACTGCTGGGCCGGGAGGTCAGATCTGCGACGCGCGGCCGAAGGGCGGGTCGACGGGCGCCCCCCCGCCGACGAGCAGGAGGAGGAGGAGGAGGAGGAGGAGGAGGAGGAGGAGGAGGAGGAGGAGGAGGAGGAGGAGGAACGGGTCCTACGCAAGAAACACATGAGCGGCGAACATGTCCGTGTCCGCGCCCTCTCGGTCTGTACTCCGGGGCGCGATCACGCGCTTCCCTGGTCGCACGGAGGCGTTCCGTGCGGGGCATCCTCGCCAAGCCGCCCCGTGTCCGCGGGGCCGCGGAGACGAGTATGTTGCTTGGCCCACAAAGGACGACGAGGCGGACAAAGCGGACGAGGTTGACGAGGAGCACGAGGAGGAGGAGGAGGAGGAGCAGGAGCAGGAGCAGGAGCAGGAGCAGGAGGAGGAGGAGCAGGAGCAGGAGCAGGAGGGCGAGGAGAACAACGAAGGCGAAGAAGACGAGGATGACACAGAACATGCATGCCGAGGTGGAAGAGAAGGAGAACGCCGACGACTACCGCGATCACGACCATGACGATTACGACAACCAAGCCGACCACCACGACGATTACGACGACGACGAGGACGACGACGAGGACGACGTTGCGGACGTTGCGGACGGTGCGACAGCGCCGAGAGGAAGCCAGCCAGGCAGGTCAAACCCTCGGCAGGCGCCCGAAAGCGCTCGCGCCGCGCGGCCGCCCGAAGCAACCTGGCATGCCGACGACGACGCACGACGACGACGACGACGACGACGACGACGACGACGACGACAAGGCAGAAGGGTACGTAGGAGGATGACGATGGCGATGATGCCGAGGAGCGAGGAGGCTTGGCTTGACGGCGGACGAGGGCGACGAGTAGGAGGTCGACGGGCATGGACAAGGAGGCAGTCCCGACGCGCTCCGTGCGACTGCGCCTGGGCTGGTTCTGAGGCCCAGATGTGCACGCACCCTGGTCGGATGGCGCCACCTATACACCTACACCGATCCTGGCCAGGCCGATCCTGGCCCAGGATCGAACCATGTGCCTTCCTGCCCAGGCCAGGAGGGCGTATGCACCGATCGAGGTCCCAGGATGAGCCTGGCCAGGAACGGTGTAGGTGTGTACTTGGCGTCCTCCTACCTGGGCCGCATTTGCGATCCAGCGGTTCTGGAGGAGGAGCACGGCGACCAGGAAAACGAGGACGACGACAACGGTACCCGAAGAAGTCTCGCCCCCTTCCTCGGAAGCAGTCGTCCGTCCAGGATCCATATTGCGAAAGCCTTCGGCCGGTGCCGCCGACCCTGAAGGGGGACGACGATAGTGGCGGCGGCAACGACGACGACGCTGACCTGGGCCAGAGTCCTCAGGGATGCTTCTTGGGGTCTCTTCGGAAGACTCTCGGGGGCCTCTGGGGAGCCTCTTGGTGGCCTCTTCGGGCTTCCTGGGGACTCCTTGTGGGCCTCTTGGAGAACCTCTAGGGGCCTCCTTGGAGCATCTCGGGGCCGAGTGCTCGAGACGTCCGTTCGGGTCCCCCGCCTGGGCACGCTCTGGGAGCGGTCTTAGGGGCCTCTTGGGCTGTTTTGGAGGCGTTTGGGGATGTTGTTTGGTCTTTTTGAGCTGATTTGGGGCTCTCTCGGAGGCCTCTTAGGCCGTCTTGGGGCGATCTTGGCGGCCTCTTACGCCGTCAGGGATCAAAGGCATGGGGCTTCCCTTCGATTCGATTGCGACAGTGCTAGATGTTCACCTCGCTGACAAGGTTAAGGGGACGACGGAGACGACGACTGAAAGAGACGACGACTCGAACAGACAAGCCCCTCATACACGCTGACAACGTCGGCGGATTTGATGGCCTCCCGGCCCGAAAACGCCCACGGGAGCCTGAAGTCGTGAATTAAGCCTTCATCGATCGATCCTTCGTCGATCCTCGATCGATCGTCGACGACGCTCGATCGATGATCGACCGTCGAGCGACGATCGATCGATCCACGACGATCGAAGATCGAGCGACGATCGATCGATCCCCGACGATCGATCCTCGATCGGTCGACGAAGACGAGGTCGAGGATGGATCGATCGACCGATCGAGGGCGACCCTCCCCGCGCGTGGCGTGAGGCCGGCGTCCTCGGCCTCCGAGGGCTCCTGAGCAGCGGCGGCTCGCCGCGCGGCGCAGGGCCGGGCGGCGTCGCCACGCCGGGCTCTCAGGCGAAGGGGGAGGATGGGGGAGGGGGAGGAGGAGGAGGAGGGGGAGGAGGGGGAGGATGAGGAGGGGGAGGAGGAGGGGGAGGACGAGGAGGAGGAGGAGGACGAGGAGGAGGACGAGGAGGAGGAGGAGGAGGAGGAGGAGGAGGAGCTGGGCGGGGTTCCTTGAACAGGACGTTCCTCAAACGCTGGGCGCAGTTCAGTCTAGGACTTGATCTGAAGCCCAAAAGGCGCTGCGGAACGGGGGACGGAGACCCTGGCGAGGAAGTCCTCCATGACATCGCAACTGAATGAAGGCTGGCATGTACACAACGGTGTTTGAATGAATTCGAAAAACCTGGCGTCCGTGTCACGGTGGAATTTCTCCTCCGTCCAGATGCCAGGTGAAGGTGAACAGCCTTCGGAACAGCGATCGTTGCACCCTCCTGCCGAGAACGATTTTGCCACGGCTCGGTAACTCGCTAACCAAGGACATGTTTTCTGAGTAATTGCTTTTGAAGCGTGCTTCTGTGCGTTGTCATGAAACGGAGTGTTCTGCCACGCCACTTGTGCCAGGCTCCCCCGTACAGGGCGGCGGGCTTCAGCACATCTTCTGCGGCGGCGGAGTTCAAGAGATGCATCGGGGGGGCCGCGACGGACTCACGTCAGCCACGCTCAGAGGGCGGCAGGAGGAGGCGGGAAGGCTTCTCGGAAGTACCCCTGCTTCCTGGACGGCGCGAGCCTTCTCTGTACCCCCCCTCCGGCGCGCCGCCGAACGGTGGGTCGATTGAGATCTCCTTCCCCGGCATCTGGGGCGGACGCCCCTGGCCGCCATCTCGCAGGCCGGCCACCGTGGGACTCGCGCGCGCTGTGCCACCCGCTCGTGGGGCACTCGGCCTGGGGAAGGGGCGCGTGGCCCAAGAGCCGCTCGAGCCACGCAGAAAAGCGGTGTCGCCTTCACCGGGCGCAACGTCGCGCGGAAGCGCCCTCGCTTCGAATGTGGCGTGCCGCGCCAGCGGCCCGCGGAAGCCACCGCGTACGTAAGGTCGCTTTGGCATCTCGCGTAAGACACGATGTTGATAGTTACCCACGTCCGCGGAGACCAATGTAGACGCCCTGAGTGCAAGCGCTGCTTGGGAAACGACAGAGAGAACGATAACAATAAGACGTGAGAGGGGGAGGGGGGAGCATGAGGAGGAGGTGGATGCAGAGGGAGGAGCAGGGGGAGAAGGATGAGAATGAAGGAGAGCGGATAGCAGGGCGGCGACGACGAAGGCGACGAGTCCGCTGGCCTGCCGCGCGCCGGGGCGAGCGTTCGCCCAGACAGACCTCAGGCGCGGCACCCGAGCGGCCCCAAGGCTTGCTTGCGGGCAAAAAGTCGGAGGGCTGCTCCGCGGAGCCACAGCAGGAGGAGAAGGGGGAGAAGGAGCAGCACAACGACGAGGAGTGGAGAGGAGGGGGGGGAGAGGAGGAGATGGGGAGGAGGGGAGGGCGGGGTAGAGAGGTGTAGTGAGAAGGAGGGGTGGGAGTAGGGGTATGAGGGGTATGAGGGGTGGGAGGTATAGTGGGTAGGGGGAAGGAGGACGAGGAGGAGAAGGTAACAATCGACAGGGGGAGGAGAAGGGGTGTGGAGGGGGAGGACGAGTAGGAGATGGAGGAGAGGGCGAGGAAGAAGGGGACGAGTGGAAGGAGAAGCAGGAGGAGCGGCAGAAGGAGAAGAGCGAATAGGGTGAGCCACATGAGCAGCAGCAGCCGTCATTCGATGTCTCAGATATCGGTACTTCGTCCGATAGCAGCTAAGGGGGGGGCAGCGTTCGTAGGCTCTGTCCTTTCGTTCTGCCCCCTGTCCTCCATGTGCGTCCCCGCCATCCCTCCCGTCTCTGCTCCCTTCCCCTTGCTAATTTGTTCTCTTAATTGATGTGGTCGATCCTGCCAAAGGCCTGAGGCTGTGAGCACTGACTTGTAGTTCAGCCGATCACGGAACATCAGAATTGATTGAGACGCCAGGTATTCGCCACTTGAGTAGCTCAAGGGTCAATGCACGTCGCATTTTCAGATTGTCAGTTTTCTTAAGGGTGGTCACAGCTGGGTTAGGACACCGCAGTGTAGAAACGATAAGGTTTAACGACACGTCGAGGTCGATTGACAGCTCTGCCCTCCTCCTCCTCCTCCTCCTCTGCCTCCTCTTGTCCTCCGTGGTACAGCCGCTTGCTACGTATTGCGCAGCTCGATGGGACGCAGATACGGCTTCAGGTGCAGATTTTTCCGGCTGGTTCAGAGTAGCATTTATGGCGTATCACAAGATTGGAATCTTACTACGGCGCAGTATTGGCCAACCACATGTCGATTGCGTTCGTGGCGCCGGCTAATTGCGATACGTTGTTGTGTTCAAGATGAGAGCACTATCTGGAATGAAGAAACTTTGCGAATTTGTTGTGATGTCGGCAGCGTTGTATACGGTAGCTCTTGCTGCACAGTTTGGGCAGCTATCCTGGCGGAAATTGGCGCGCAGGATTGCCCATATTCCGAAGTAGGACGAGGAGATTTGGGTGTGGACCGTTTGTGGGCACACATTCTGTCGAGCTTTACCCCGTCCTCTTAACCTTTTTTTTGTGATGATCCTCGGCGGAGTCCGAAGCCCTAACCCCCCGAAACAAAGAAGAGGCGTGGGTAACATATAGTAATTATACACTGAGGTCAACAGGGCTATGTGTCCGAACAGCTTCAGTAGTTGGGACGCCAAGTTTGGGAAGTCGCCCAGCATGGGCTGACGACTCGTCTCGTGGTTCGCCCAGTCCACCGAGGCATCACTCAATAAAACGAGCGGCTCCCGTAGTGGACACCAAGGCTCAGATCGCTGGTGATACGGCGCGCAGGTGGGCAACTGAAACTGCAGTCTGACATGACCTGTGGCCTTGCAGCCAGCATCATGTTTCCTGGTTGTGTCGTTCCCCTTCTGCCTCTGCTCCTGCGCTGCTGCTGGCTTCCTGGGTTGTCCGCCCGTAGCCCCCCTTCTCTGCCGCCTTCTCTCTCGCTGTCCTGTGCTCTCCAAGCCGCTCTCCGCTCGGTCCGCTCTGATGCCGACTCCCCGTCGTCGTTGCTCTCGTTCTCCCTGCTGTGTGCGTCCTTCTTCCTAATTTGGGTTCGTCTGGGGGGGCAGCTCTGGAGAAGGCACCGAAATCGCCGTCAGGGGGGTCACGCAGGGGGGATCGCCAACTCGCTCTTGACGGGCAGGGTTCGGCGGTCAACTCGGAGTCTCCGCGCCTTTGGCAAGAAAAGGCGGCAAAGCGAGACCACGCCGCCGAATTACATCAGGCGAACGACTCTCGCGGCCCAATCCACAGATGTTCGTTCGATGCGCTGGCAGGGCAGAGTGGGAGGACCATGCGAAGCGAGTGCAAGGGCATGTAGATCAGACCCGAGAGGAATGCATAGACAAAGGATGTGAGAGAAGATTCGGCCGTCTGCGAGTCGGTGGACCCTTCCAGGAGGGGGAGGCGCATCAGGAAGAGGCTCATAAGAGGAAGGAGGAGGGGGAGGAGAAGGCAAATGAAGAGAAGACGGAGCACGACGAGGGCCATGAAGGGAAGGAGGGGGAGGAGGAGGGCGACGACGAAGATCATCAGGAGAAGGAGGAGCCCTCCACATTAACACATACACACTGATCGCTACATTGGGAACGCTAGCTAAGACGCATGTCAAAACATTGCCTTCACATGCTGAAGCCCCCTGTGCAAACCTAAACGAATCAAGCCATGGCTCAAGAATCGCAACGATACCAAGTCAATGGGAGCGACGATGATGTCAAGAGGACGCGAGCTGTGAGATTGCACAACACACAATGATCTGAAGTTCACGGGTCGGCACTGGCCTGTTATGGGAGTTTTTGTCTGCAACCGAGCGCTTTTCAGAGCAGGTGTCGCTTCCAACTCGATCCACGAACTGGCTCAACTCCGAGCGTTCTAGCTCGGTCTGAAAACAGATACATTACGACTCCCGAGCTAAAGACAGCAACATCACAATGCATCGAGCCCTACCTAACGGGCGATTGCACTAACACGCTTATGTCAAAACAAGGCTGTGTGTCAATGTGCTGAATGTGTTTCTGCATCTTCAAAGTTTGGGGTTCGAGGGATGTGAATCTGTGCGTGTTGCAACCACCCTTCCTAAAATTCAAAACTAAAATGCGCTTGGCGCGCTTGAAGCCCTTCGACGGCAGGGCACTGGAACTGGAACCTTTCACCTTGCCACAAGCGCTGCCGCTGGACTCGCTGCCATGCTGATACTTCTTCGGGGCTGGCGTGACGAGTTCCTCGAGCGGCGATCCCTCCGACTTTGCGGGGGTCTTCGTGGCAACGCTTGTGACTGAAGCAGGGGGAGGAGCACCAGGCGCCTTGAAAGGCGACGTACTTGGACTCACAGCGTGGGCGTGCAAGTCTGAAAACTGCTGCCAAAACGCGCGCGGCAGCGTGGGGTGCAAAGGCTGCCGCTCGGCCAGGAAGGCCTTCGCCTTGTCTGGCCCCTCGGGGCGGTGACGAAACACAAAAAGCAACTCGACGCCCTGAATGATCACGCTTGCCTCAGTGGCCTTCCTCATTGTCGTCTGGGCAACGGCGACGGCCTCACTGGTGATATCGTTATCTTGAACGCGGGGGCAGATGGCAAGCAAGCCAGCGGCGTCGGCGAAGTCCTTCAAGGTATCGTGTAAGGAGTTGTGGCTGGAGACCAGTGGCTGCAACTTATTCTTGAGCATCTGAGTGGCCATGGTCTCGTTGAAGTTGTCGTCTGAGATGCATGCTGACCAAGTAGGCGTGGCTTTGGCCGTGTCTTCGGTATGCTTGGTTAGGATTGCGGCCATCGCGTTCAGGATGATCCCCTCACACTTGTTGCTGAAAGCACCTGCAAGCGAGCACCAATGTCGGATCGAAGCGATGGGCTCGCCGAACTGCCACCCTTTCTTCTCGAAGTTCACGGCGACAGTGTTGTTGATGATGCCGTCCAGCTTCGTCAAAGCCCCATGAAGGACTTGCATGATGTACGTGGCATCCT